TTTAATAATGTAGGCCTCAGTTTCCAGCAGGACGCATGTCTGGAAAAAAAACTATATTCTTCAGCAGCATGGGAGCATAATATGCAAGAAGAACTTATAGATGTAGTTTCTAAAATACATTAAAGGGAAAGGTTTCCCTTCTTAACCTCTTCTCTCTCCTGCTAGGCAGCCTAATGGACCCTGGGGCAGTTGGCTAACTAAGGAGGGCTGTGACAGATCATCTTATCTTCCCAGAATCCGTCCTTTCCTTCCTGTCCTGGGAATTGTCTACTTCTCTGCTCTCTGGCTTTGGGCACAGTCTGACTGGTTCTGGACAATGAAATGTTAGGAGACCATGACACAAGCTGAGGCTTTAAATAAGCTTGTGTGGTTTGGCTGGCCTTCTTGCTTCTGCCATCTGCCCGGAGAGAAACGTGGCTTTGGGAACTGCCGGTCCCATGATGAGGAGCGCTGCATGAATAGTTCTGAATGCAGTCTGCAGCCAGAAGCAGAGTCTAGCCCAGCTAATCCACATTCCACAAGTGAAAAACAACTGCTGTTATTTCAGGCTACTGAATTCTTGGGTTATTTGTTATGTGGCATAACTAGAATAATAGTTGACTGATCAAACACAGAGCAATAGGGCTGGGGATTTAGCTCAGTGGTTCCGCCACCTGCCTTGAAACACAAGGACCCGAGTTTGATCCTCGGTACCAACCCCCCCCCCAAAAGCAAAAAAACACAGAGCAAAAAAGATGGGCAGCTGGAAGAATAGGAGGCGAGACCATAGTAGTCCTGGGCTGCCTAACTCTGAATTTCTTTTACCACAGAAAAAAAGAAACCTGATTCTTATTTAAGGTAATTATGTTTTTCTGCCACTCCCAGCCAAGAATATCCCTTGACACACACACTCATTCTGTCCATGACAGTGCTCACAGGGATCTCAATGTGACTGCAGCCTTGGGATGCCTTAATACCTTTTGGATTTCCTTTCTTCCCTCATTCCTTACCCATCTCTAAATTTCTGTATTTTTCTCAAACCCCCAATTCTATGCTGTTCCCTCATTATCTCTGCCTGTTGATCCCATGAGCCTCAAACTACTTTGGTCCTGTATGTATGCTTCCAGCAGAAAGTAAAAATATTGAATCCAAACATAATTCTTTCATCAAAGGGGACAAATCAGACTCTACATTATCTTTAGAAGCTCAGCAATAAATCTTTTATATAGTTGGCTTTTTGGGGAGGGGGGGTACCGGGGATCGAACTGGGGACCTTGCACTTGTGAGGCAGGTGCCAGAACCACTGAGCTAAACCCCCGCCCTAGTTGGCATTTTTTTAAAAAGTAAATTTTATTTTACGCCAGCCCCCTAAGCTCCCCCACCATGTACAAGAGCTTCGTTTCCATTTTTTCCTTCCATTTTCACTTTTTTTCTTGCCCCTTCCTTCCTTTCTTCCTCCCAGTTGGCTTTTTCTTTTGAAACAAGTCTCACTATTGTAATTCATAATGGCCTTGAACTCAATCATATACCCCAGGGTGGCCTCAAACCCACAGTGATTCTCCTGCCTCAGCCTCCCAAGTGCTGGGACCATAAGCATGCACCACTACACCAAGCAATACAGGTTTTACTGTTTGATAAAACTATTAAAATCTGGATAGTGGGCTGGGGATTTAGCTCAGTGGTGCTGCTGCCTGCCTCGCAAGTGCAAGGTCCCAAGTTTGAACCCCGGTACTAAAAAAAAAAAAAAAAAATCTGGATAGAAAAAGGACCATTTAAGCATTTACAGTGGTACCTCAATTCATGAACTGAATTTGTTCTATGATTTTGGAAAAGACGGCCATGTCGTGTTTGTGTGGGAAAGATAGCCACAGTCGTGTTTGTCAACTGATGGAGAGTTTGTAAACAACAAAAAAATTGCCAAACACTTCTGTTTATGAACCAAACTGTTTGCAAAGAAAAGGATTCGTAAACCGGGGTACCACATACTCTGCCATAAAGAAAGATAAACACTTGAGTCATTTGTAGGAAAATGGATGTACCTTGAGACCATAATGGTAAGTGAAATCAATCTGACACACAAGCTTAAATAGTACATGTTTTCTCTTATATGAGAAGCCCAAATTATACATAAAGAGCAAACTAAAAGACAATAGGAAATAGAGAGGCATCTTTCTCAAATAGAAAGGGGATCAAGCGCTGGAGGGAGGACAGAGGTAGGAGAGGGCAAGGGGATGCAAAAAGGAATAAAGAACTTAAGTGTAGCAGAATCTGAGCGGGGTGCAGAGGAGACTCCTGGTGCTGGGATTGGACCCAGGGTCTCAAGCATACTAAGCATGCATCCTACCACAGAGCAAAACTTGTAGCCCCATGTGCAAGTTTGTGTACATGTGTTGTCTTCTTCAATATTGGTGACTGAGCCCAGTGCCTTTGAGCTGAGCTAATCCTGGACCTTTTATTTATTTTTTGAGACAGGGGCTCACTAATCTGCCCAGGCTTGGATCAAACTTTTCATCTTCCTGCCTCAGCCTCCCAGAGTACTAAGATTATAGGTATATACCACTACACCTGGTTTGTGTGCGTGTGTGTGTGTGTGTGTGTGTGTGTATGTGTGTATCAGAAACTGATCCAAGAGAATATGCATCAAGCTACACCCCCAACCCTTTTTTATTTTAAGATAGAGTCTTGCTAAGTCACTAAGTTGCCCTGGTCAGGTTCAAACTTACAATCCTCCTGCCTAATAATCCCAACTTGCACGATGTTGGGATTACAGGTGTGTACCACCACACTAAGCACTATGTGTTTTTTTTATGTACGTGCCACACGCCTGGGTGGATAATATGTTTGAAAATTGTCTTTAGTTATTTCATTTATTTTTGTTTTCATTAGACAGGGTCTTGCCATGTACAGTAGTTCAGGGTGGCTTTGAACTTACTATGTAAACTCAGGCTGGCTTCAAATTCTAGGCAATCCTCCTGCCTCAGCCTCCCAAGTGCTGGATTATAGGTGTGTGCTACTATGCTCAACTCTCCTTCTGCATTTCTTTGTCTGTTTTGTTTTTTTTGAGTACTGGGATCTAACTCAGGACCTTGCACTTGCGAGGCAGGTTCAGTGCCACTGAGCTAAATTCCCCAGCCCTACATTTCTTTTTTTCTTTTTTCTTTTTTTTTGTACTGGGGATCAAACTCGGGTCCTTGCGCTTGCGTGGCAGACGCCGGAACCACTGAGCTAAATCCCGGGCTACATTTCTTGATCAATAATGTAAACTTCTTGATTTTCACCAGTCCTTTAGAACATTAGCCTCAATAAACCCTTTTCCCACTAGCAGAAACTGATAAATAGCATATTTACTCTATACACAGTGTCAGTAAGAGAAAGGTGGTTGAAGCGAGGTGTGGTGGTAAATGCCTGTCATCCCAGCACTCTGGGATGGCTGAGGCAGGATGACTGTAAATTCTAGCCCAGCCTAAGTAACAGTGAGAATTTGTCTCAGCAAGGGTTGGGGATGTAGCTCAGTGTGAAAGCCCTGGGTTCAATCCTTACCCCCACCCCACCCCCAGCCAGATAAGATAACAACGCCTAGATAAACCAGTGTGATATGACCTTCAGCCCACAGGCCACTGAAGCAATCACTGCAGAGCACAGTAACATCTTGATATCCTGATTAATATCCTAGAGTCTGGAAGGCTTACCTTATACTTATTATACTTCATGTTTACCTTTCAATGAAAAGCTTTCTTACAGAAATATAATGCTACACTTTCCCTTCTTTTTCTAATCTTCAACTTTCATCTTCTTTTCCCTACACACTTGGAGGCTGAAGTGTACTATGTATACATGTGTATGTGGTGGGATCTTAGGAGGCCAGATTTTGCCTTTCACTTGTTGTCAGTCATACAAGAAACTAGGAGCCAGCCAGGGATTTAGCTCAGTGGCACTGTGCCTGCCTTGCAAGTGCAAGGTGCTGAGTTTGATCCCCAGTACAAAAAAAAAGAAAAGAAAGAAAGGAAGGAAGGAAGGAAGAAAGAAAGAAAGAAAAAAAAAGAGAGAAAGAAAGAAACTAGGAGCCTCTTATTACCATCTCTTGTAAGAATCAATAAAACCTAATGATCACATTTTGGATTTAACAGATATTTTAACATGTCTGACCTTCAATCAATTACTCCTGCTCACAGCCTCCTACTTAGTCCTGGACTATTCATCTACTCGGAAATTAGGCAAAAAGGTGAAACTACTTGTTTTTTCTGTTTTGCATATGGAAAATCACACACTGTTAGTTGTACCTTGTACTCACAGGGATACAACACACAAAAAGCAGGCTGGCAGGCTGTTTATTTTGTGCTTATGATCCAAAAAACTTCTGAACTAATTGTCTTGCTCTCCAGAAGTATTAGAGGCCCAACTCGAATCCCTTACAGCGGACAAGGAATGAGAAGGGGTGGCTCTAGCTAAGAGATTCCCAACTGAAAGGCAGCATTGCATTGTATTCAGAGTGGATTTTAGTCACAGTATATGCATCTCTCTGTGACTTTGGGCAGGAAACTTAACTCTTCTGATCTTTAGTTTCCACAGCTGAGACCAAAACTTTAGGATCACATATATAAGATACTAACACCAGGTATTCTTTTTTTGGGGTACCGGAGTTCGAACTCAGGACCTTGTGGTTGTGAGGCAGGTGGCAGAACCACTGAGCTAAATCCCTGGCCCTACACCAGCTATTCTTGTTATCAAAACTTTCCTTTAGAGTACTTTCTTTTTACCTAGTTCTACCAGTAGAGTTCTGATCATCCTGACCCATACATTATACCCAGGAGAATTAGAAGCATACTACTTGGACGAGACAGTAATAAACCCAATAAAGCCTATTCTGCAGGGTCTCAATCCTCTTTGTTTTTTGTCAGCTGATGCTATTCCTTTGTTACTGGTCTTTGTAAAGTCAAATTCTACACAAAGAATCATGCCATCAGACATTACCTTCTTAAAGTTCCAATTATAATGTTATGGCCTGAAAGCCAGTGTATTACCTGGTTGCTTTTGCCGGGGCTTTGGCAAATTCGTCACACACGTATGTGGGCACATAAGTATGTTGCAAGGATGTAGAGATCCCTCCAGAAAGAGCTGTTTGGTCTGAGATATATGGATCCCTCCTAGTGGCGTTTTTGGCAATGTATTGGCAGGCACCAGAGCAAGACAATAGACCCCTACTTGATGAATGCTATCGATTGCCTAGAAAAATACAAAGAAAAATATTAAGTGAGATCGCTTTTACTACATTTAACATACTCCTGGCATAATTCATAATTTTATTGTAAGATTTTATTTATCCATACTAGATCTAAAATCTAGATCATTGTGATCTCCTACATCTTAAAATCTAAAGAAAATCATTAAGATCCCACACATCTTTCAACTATGGCAGAGATAAACAGAAGGATGGTAAGAGAATCTAAATACGTAGGGCTAGATACTGATTTATCAACCTCAGCATGTTCTCTTTAAACAGTAACTGTCAACACCTTTGAAATTTGTTTTTAAATGTTTTGCCAGGCCAATATAGATAATTTAAAAAGAGGCAAAGTATTTGTATTATGCAAACAAAGTAGTTTTCTAAATGGGCTCCCACTTAAGTGATGCACCATGTTACTATGTATTGCCTCTGTAAAACACCAGGTAAGGCTACAGGTTACCCTGAGTGCACTCTGCTACTAGCAATGTCACTATATTCTCGCTCAGAGTCAACTGAGCTTGTTTGTACAATGTTCAAGACAGTTGTTCTTGTTACTGTTTTTGTCTGAGTATTACATAAATGATATAAAAGCAAAAAGGCTGAAAGAGTTGGGCTTTGGAAAGTCATACTGAAGGTGAGCTCCTAAAAAACTACTGCTGATAGCATGGGCATATTCATCCTAAAAGAAAGGATTGTCTATTCAAGTCACTTTTTCAATACTTGTGTTCTAGTTCAAACTTACATTTTTTTTGTTTTTTTGAGACAAGGTCTCACTATGTACTTCAGACTGGCCTTGAATTCACTATGTAGCCTACGCTGGCCTCAAACTCACAGCAATCCTCCTCCTTCAGCCTCCTGAACGCTGAGATTACAGGTGTGGACTACCACACTCAGCTTTCTAGTTCAAACTTAAATGAAATCAGAAACCAAAGATGATGGATTTAGCTATAGTTTATGGATTACCTAGAGCTCAAACTGGATAATTCATACACACTACTCTATATCGGATGAACACATATTTATGTTTTGTGTTAAAACTTAGTATTTGAAGATTTCTTTCATTTTTATGATTTTGATTCATCTATCTATCTATCTATCTATCTATCTATCTATCTCTGAGACAGAGTCTATGTTGGCCAAGGTGGTCCTAAACTCCTGGGGCCCAAGCCATACTCCTACCTGAGCCTCTTGAGTAGCTGGCACTATAGGCGTGTGCCACTAACCCCAAATTCAACTGCCTCTTAAAACCAACCAAATTAATACCAGTTCAAAACACACCTGTTAAGAAGATCCTATTGTACTACCCATAGGCCTTACTGAAATGAAACTACTGTGGAACCTTAGAAGAAGAATGGACTAACAGTCATAATAAAGTGAGTCGTAAGAGATGGACAAGGCCTTTTATTAAGACAATTCAAAAGACCACGGGAATAGACCTGACACTCATAGTTCTCAGACTATCCTCTATGCCAACACACATGACTGGGAAATACTAAGTCTGGACAAGTTCCTGAGTCACTGTCCTTTAGAATACACAAAAAGTAAAAAAAAAAAAACAAAAATCCCCCAATAACACACAAAAAATAGAATGTACAAAAAGTTATCGAGTGTATCACAGGTAGCCTGGATGGTCCCCTGAAAACGTAACATAGGATAAACCATTTTGCTAGACGCCTTTCCCTAGAAAGTGCTGAGTGAGGCAACTATTTGAGTCCTGCAATTAACCATCTCCAGTCTCTAACCTTCTAGAACATACTCTGCTATTCACTATGGACCCAGCTGAAAAGTCACAGAGCCTAGGAAAATAACAGCATCTCACTTCATGCCTAAATCGGACACCAAATGACTTTTACAAGGATTTGGATTGGTAATTCCTAAAGTTAGTTTCCTGGGAAATTTAACAAAATCTTGAGAACTTCAAATATATTTACTTCTGGGTAATAGGAAAAAAAAAAATGTGTAATTCACCACAAGTTTCCACCATTATGCTCCAAAATTCATTTTCTATAAAACAAGCAAGTCTGTATTTGTTTGAAAATATGAATATGGTATGAGAAATATTCTCTTTGCATGCCTGCCTTTTAGCCCTCTTTCAGAGATCAGCCTAGTCCTCATTCTTCAGTTTACATTTAGTCATTTTCCTTTCTTTGATTTTTTTAGTACAATTAGCCAATGCTAGATTAGCTGGTAATTCAGGATGACAGACTGAGGATAGAAATGTGAAAAGTCAAGCTGGGTGTAGTGGCGCAGATCTGTAATTCCATACTTGGGAGGCTGAGGCAGGAAGATTGCCATGAGTTTGAGGCCAGCCTGGGCTACCTAGTGAGTTCAAGGCCAGCCTGAACTATATAGCAAGACCCTGTCTCAAAAAACAAAAACAAGGGGCTGGGAATTTAGCTCAGTGGTTCTGCCACCTGCCTGGAAAGCGCAAGGTCTCAAGTTCAATCCCCAGTACCCAAACAAACAAACAAACAAACAAGAAAACTCCCAGGCTGGGGGGTGGGGGTGGGGGACCTCTGAAGTCATTAATGTCATCATTCACCTCATGCTTGCTTGGTTCATTTCTAATAAATCCAAATGTCTCAGGTAGAAAAGTTAAAGACACCAGGAACATGTCCAGTAACATAAGTTGTTATGGAAAGGGCAGTCCAGGCTTTCTTCAGACCATCCAGCTGGCCAACAAATACTTACTATGGTAAGTGTAAGCACAGCTATCAGGGGTTGGTGCTTGAGCAGTGAACAGCCGAGACAGGGACATCTTGGCCTTTGTGGGTCTTACAGTGGATCAGAAAAGTTAATAAATAATCTGTCTACTTATATGGCAGTAAATGCTAAGCAGAAAAGGAAGAGTGGAGACAAAGAGCACAGGAAATGTTATTTAAGACAGAGTGAACTTCTCTCATACCCTTGTAAGTGATAATGCTTATGGTCATTATTTTGTAATGTTGTAAGAATCATGCTCAAGCCTGTAATATGGGCTGAGGCAGGAAGATCACAAGTTCAAGCTCAGATCGGGCCACTCAGTAAGACTGAAGCACAAGAACAAGAAGAACCAGGACCAGAAGAACAACAACAAGAACAAAAAGAACAAGAATGACAAGAACAAAAAGAAGAACAAGAAGAACAACAACAACCAGCAGCAGCAGGAGGAGGAGGAGGAGGAGGCAGCGACAGCAGCAGCCTGGAGAGGTAGGTGAAGACGGCCGATAGAATGCCTCTGGGTTCAATCCCCAGCACTTAAAAAGAGAAGAATCCCCATCCTTACTGAGTGAGGAGCTGTATACTTCCATTATATCATTTACTCCTTCCAAGACCTCTGTAAGACAGACAGTTCATCCCTACTTTACAGGTTAGAAAATAAAGTCAGCGAAGTTCAGTCACTTGCCTGGGGTAAGGAGATTCAAATTCATGATTCTTTTTCTTTTGGGTACTGGGGCTTGAAGTCCTTGCACTTGCAGGGCAGGCGGCGGAACCACTGAGCTAAATCCCCGGCCCAAATTCATGCTTCTTAATAAACTCTAGGTTCTTTCCACACGTAGTCTGCTTCCTACTAGAAACATATCCCAGACACCAAGCCTAAGTCATTCTCCTTCCCTCATAGTTTCTCTCACCTAGCACCCCTCTAACTCCACAGCAAAGCTCCTTCAGAACATGAACATCTTCTATGCTCTCAGAGCCTCACATGCAAGGCTGCACTCATGGCATTTGTAAGACTGTGACTAAGTGCTGCCAAGTGAACTGATTACAGTCAAAAATACGTTCCACACATGGGCAGTGAAAGCTTCCATAAATACTCAGGCATGAAAGAATCTGCTGAGGCAGATCAGTTCAACTGTTCTTGGCGATGTAGGTAGAAAAATACTACATGGTCCACAAGGAGACACGGCATTAGTTATCTGATTTTGGTAATAGGGCCCAGAATATTTGAGCAACGATTGGCAAGAAAAAAATAAGGTAATACAACCAGCCCATCAAAGTGCCTCCACAGTGGAGACAGACCTGAAGTGTGCTCACCTGCAGCACGCGGCTCATCCACTGGAAGCTGTCTTCTTCGGAGGCATCAGGTCTTTGTTCTGCAACCACCACGATGCGCTCATCATAAAATACAGACACAGAAAACACAGCAATTCTAAGAGAGACAGATCAAACACATCAGACTCCCTTCACAACCAGTCCTACTTGCTTTACCTGGAGTCACAGAGAAGAGACATCCCCCCACCATACCACCCAGAGGAGTAGTTTAGAAAAGAAAATGTGCAATCATTATTACCAAAATGAAGATGGATTCATTCAAAAACATGTATTAAGCACCACTGTCATGAATGTTAGGGGCAAAGTGAGAAACAAAACACAGTTCCTTTCTAAATGGAGCTTACGTGTTAGAGACAGAACAAAACCAACAAGGGATAAAAAGGCCATGTTGCAACATGTGCCAGGAAGCACAGGGGCAGGGCCCGGGGCTGTGGGGTGTGGGTGGTTGGGGAGCGCCTCCCTGGGGAGCGGACACTGGAGCAGAGACCTGAATGAGGTGAGGACGCGAGCCACGTGAAGATCTGGAGGAAGAGGATTCCGGGCGGAAGGAACGGAAAGCGGAAAGGTTCTGAGGTAGGGACGAGCCTGGCAGGTTTGAGGAACAGCAAGAAGGCCAGTGTGCCTGGAGCAAAGTGGTGGAGCAGAGAGCGGGAGGGAGAGTCAGACGAAGGCAAGGGCAGATCACAGCGGCCTGGGAGGCCAGGGAGGGGGATGGAGTTGGCTCTGAGTGAGGTCTCCGCTCAAATGTCCCCTTACTAGTGAGGCATTCCCGGGCCACCTCATGTAAGCTAGCAAGCTCCTCCCGCCATGTAAACACAGCAGCAATCATCCTCTCCCATGTATTTATTTCCCTGTTCACTTTTCTACTGTCTGATTCCCACCATGAGGATGTGCGCAGACTTGGCTTGTTCTGTTCACAGCCATAGTCGAAGCATCTAGAACAGTGGGATGTAGTCAGCATCCAATGAGTATTTGCTGAACAAATGCATGAAAAAATGCGAAGTCACTGGAGCTGAACATGCCAGCTCACCACCTGCATCCCTTCCATCCACACAAATTTATAGATTAGCTACTGTGTACGAGGCACTGTGCTGAGTGTTAGGGACATAACTGTGACCAAAGACAGGAGGTCCAGTGTCCTATGTAGTTTACATCTCAGAGGAAGCCACATTACAAAAACCCACACATTTCAGGAACCAGTTCTTTTTTGGTTTCATTTATTCTTTTCCTTAAAAAACTAAAAGGACATAAAGGTTGCTTTGAAGATCTATGTCCATGACTATAAACTGCTAAATAAGACATTACCCAAATATGTAACAAGAAAAAAGATGCCTGTTTCTACAGACTTTGAAATTATCAGCACTTATGGGCTATGACAATCTACACATTAAAATAGTATACTTTAGTCAGAAATAAGCACAAGGAATAATGCTTAGATATAAACTACAGAAGTGGCACCTGTGTCCATTACCCTGAACACCACTACCTCTGTACTAAAGAAATGCAGGAACTCTCCTTGGTCTTGCATGATTTAATAAACAGTCATAATTAAAATATGAAATACAGGACGTAGTCCATCGCATCCCTCCCAAATACAGCCAAAGAACCAAGCCCTGGGAGATACAGTCAAAGCCAGGCAACCCGATCATGTGGTGAGACTTGAAGCTCAGTCACCCTGCGGGACTGTGCAGGCCCCAAGGGAAGTGCTAGTATAGAACCTATACTACTCACCGTCCTCTGTAAACAGTCTTTATTGACTCCACAGCCAGTCCAGTGGCAACAATGTCATCAGCATTATGTCTTCGACCACTAACCATTAGTAACCCATCCATTTTTCCAACTACGAACACCAAGCTGCCCTGAAAGATAACAATGATTTACCTTGGTTTCCCTGGTTTAAACAGGAAAACACATTGTATACTTCTAGCTTTTGTGTGTGTGTGTGGCAGGGTCTCACTATCTAGCCCAGGCTGGCCTTGCACTCCCAGAAATCTTCCTGTCTATGTCTCAGAAATGCTGGGATTACAGGCTTGTGCCACCACTTACTTCTGCTTTAAAATAAATCTCATAAACAACATGACAGATGCTTGTCTACCATATTTGTGGCTCTAGGTTTGATGTGATAAAAACAAAACTAAAAATAAATGTGTACATACATATGTATGAGTACATATCATATATATATATATATATATATGAATAAAGAATGTCATATTTAATGGATTTTAAAGAACTTTTTCACATCCTAACATCTCTGAAATCAATAGGGAAATCAGTGACATTCTTTAGCCAGTCACATCTGCAATATATAAGGAAATAATTTGTTCATATTTATTCTTAGGGAAGAATTTTCTAAGAAATCTAAGGATTTCACACAAGTATAGCTTATTTTCCTGGCCATGAGTACATATTACTTCATTTTCTGTAACTATGTACAGGTTGAATGCAGAGGAGAAAAATGTTAATTTACTACTGGAATTTGGAGGAAATTAAAATAGTTTGAGCATGAGAATCATTGTTTCAAGTTCATTAAAAAAAGTTTATAAGGATAAAGCAGTTTCCATTTGGTAAGATTAGAAACAGCTTAATAAAAAAAAACGGTCTGGCTGGGTACGTGGTGGTGCACACCTGTGATCCCAGTGCTCGGGAGGCTGAGGCAAGAGGATCCCAGCAAGTTGGAGGGCAGCCTGGGCTACATCATGACTTCAAGGCCAGCCTCAACTACAAGGTGAGACCCTGTCTCAAAAAACCAAAAAGGTCTCAGGAACATTAGAGAAGGCTTTCTTCTGCAGGAAAATAACAGCTGCAGGAAACTGCTATCACAGTCCTCAAAGCATCACTGAGTAAACACTCTTCCCAGACCCATCTACAGTGAATTAACTTTTCTCATTTATTACAGATTCCTAAATATTAGCCAGGTGTGGTGGTGCAGGCCTGTAATTCCTGCACATGGAAGGCTGAGGCAGGAGGATCACTGAGAGTTTGAGGCCAGCCTGGACATAGTGAGACCCTGTTTCTGGAAAAAAAAAAAAAAAAAAAAAAATTCCTCAGTAGTGCCAGGTATGGTGGTGCATGCTTATAATTCCTGCAACTCAGGAGGCCAAGCCAGGAGGATCACAAGTTTGATGCCAGCCTGGGCAACTTAGCGAGATCTGTTTCAAAATAAAGAAGGCTAGGGATGTAACTTGGAACTCCCTAGGTCAGTGATGCTGAACCTTTTAGAGAACGAGGGTCCAAACTGCAACCCAAAACCTACTTACTTATTGCAAAGTGCCAACACTATAATTAAACCTAAATACTAAGGTTTTAGTTTAGAAAAACCCAACAGTTATCCAATGCTCAGTTGTTGGGGCAACTCGGCTCATGTTCCGACAGAGGTTTTTGTGTGCTTGCTGCAGCATGCGTGCCACAGGTTTGCCACCACTGCCCTAGGTTCAATCCTCAGTACTGGAAAAATAATTCCTAAATGTCTCAGACCACTTACATACATTCAGTGACCTAGAAGTGATCTCCATATGAATTATCACCAACAAACTCATTCACGGATTCACTGGTTTTCGGTATACATGCTGCCAAGGTGAGCACTCAGTGACCCTAGGCACAATGCAATGTCATACAGTGACTGGGCAGTGAGTAAGATGTTAAGTTTTATTCTCAAGAAGCTACTGGACCATCGCAGATGCCAGAGGAGAATCAGCCCTTTCCAGCAGTTTGAAAGCTCTGGTGTTGGTAAATAAAGAGACTGAGACAATCACTGCCTGTCTGCCAATAGCTGTTTCTCCACTTTTTTTTTCTTTCTTTTTTCTTTTTGAGACAAGGTCTGGCTATGTAATTCAGGCTGGTCTAGAACTCACTATGTTGCCCAGGCTGGCCTTGAAATCACAGCACTCTTCCTGCCTCAGCCTTCCAAGTGCTGGGATTACAAGTGTGTGCCACTATAACCAGGTTTCATTTTTTTTTTTTTTGGTACCGGGATCGAACTCGGGTCATTGTCCTGACGCAGCAGGTGGCAAAACCACTAAGATAAATCCCCAGCCCCCATTTTTTTTTTTTAATAGTAAGAGAATTCTTAGTGGAGCATAGCTAACCAAAATAAGACTGCATTTCAGGTGTGCCCACGGGATTAGTTCAGACCAACAAGGTAGAAGCAGAACAGCTGCACAGCAGTTTTGGGGAAACTTTAACAGAGGGTAAGGTCAGGCATGGTAGTGCATGCCTATAATTGCAGCACTTGGGAGGCTGAGGCAGGAGGATCACCATGAATTCTAGGCCAGCATGGGCTACATAGTGAGTTCAAGGCCACCGTGGACTACATGAGACTCTGTGTAAAAAAATAGAAAAAGAGAGAGAGAGAGGAGGTAGGACTGCATCTTGTCCTCTGCTAAAATGTACGTGATTTCCAGAGCTCCATCCTGGACCTCAATAATGAAATAAGCTAACAGGATGCAGATCTGTGACAATTTCTCAGTGTTGAATAAAGAAGTCAAGAAAGTAGGTAGAGACTATTATTTCTAGTAGAATAAGTCTCCTAGACCTATGGCCCCTCCTTCCCAGCCCATAAATGGTAGGGAAGAAATGAAATAAAAATAGATTTACTCTTTTTTCTTTTTCTTTGTACCAGGGATCGAACTTGGGACCTTGCGCTTGCTGGAACCACTGAACTAAATCCCCAGCCCAGATCTACTCTTATGTAAGTTAAGGTGTTAAAAGGAGAAGAAAGATAGGGGAGGAGATAATTAGGGAATAGAGAGACCCGAACTGAACTAGGATAATGACTGCCCATCACTTACAAACCAAAGCCCAACTTGCCACTGCATCATGCAAGCCCTTCATGGCCTGGCTCTCTGCCATCCTTGTGTGTGCATCAAGCACACTATGAACTCAAGAACAGGCTGTTCAGGTCCTAGCTGGCTCTGTAATCCTAATGCCTACAAATACAGACTATTTACTGAATGACAAATCATTTTGATTCCAAAAATTTACTATTACACATGGTGTATTGCTGATAATTTGTATGAAAATGCTTTGTCCCCTATGCATACAGTTCCCTTTACTTTACTTTATTTTTATTTATTTTTTCAGCACTGGGGATTGAACTCAGGACCTTACAATTTCGAGGCAGGTGTGGCACCACTGAACAAATCCCCAGCCCTATTCTTTCTTCTTTTTTTTTTGGTATTGGGGATCAAACTCAGGACCTTGAGCTTGCGAGGAAGGCAGCAGAACCACTGAGCTAAATCCCCGGTCTTTCTTTCTTCTTTTTGAGACAGGGTCTCGGTATGTATTTTCAGGCTGGCCTTGAATTCACTATGTAGCCCAGGCTGGCCTCAAACTTGTGGCAATCCTCCTGCCTCAGCCCCCCAAGTACTGAGATTATAGGCGTGCACTACCATGCCTGGCACCATTTTATATTCTTATTGAAGAACTGCAACTAAACAGAAGCTAAGTTGCATTGTACCACCCTTGGGCTAGTCAGAATTTGTTCTGTTCTATAAATTAAAATCCAGGGTCGGGGATTTAGCTCAGTGGTTCTGCTGCCTGCCTTGAAAGTGCAAGGTCTTGAGTTCAATCACCGGTACCAAAAATAAATTAAAATCCAAATATTTAGATCAGATGTAAAGGTTTAATATTAATATTAAATCAACATGAAAGCATCACTTACTGGGCCTACAAATCCCAACAATCCTGACCGGATGAATGGCACATCTCCAACAGGAGAGCCTGCAGAATTCACTGGAATCACCTGAAGAACAAAAGGAAGTAAGTAAAAAGCTTTGCTTTTTCTTAGAAAATGTATTTGATTTTTAAAAGGTCTTATTACAAAATTACAATAATAATACATGGTTGTTGAAGAACTAAAATTATATGCAGTAATCCCATCCCCTGAAGTGATAAACATTTACAATTTGTTTACTTCTCTGAGTTTTAAAAAAAGATCCATGGAGCAGCACCAGATCCAAGATGGCGGCCAGCAGGAGGCTGATGAAGGAGCTTGAAGAGATCGGCAAATGTGGAAGGAAAAACTTCTGTAACATCCAGGTTGATGAAGCTAATTTATTGACTTGGCAAGGGCTTATTGTTCCTGACAACCCTCCATATGATAAGGGGGCCTTTAGGATCGAAATCAACTTTCCAGCAGAGTACCCATTCAAACCACCAAAGATCACATTTAAAACAAAGATCTATCACCCAAACATTGATGAAAAAGGACAGGCTTGCCTGCCAGTAATTAGTGCTGAGAACTGGAAGCCAGCGACCAAGACCGACCAAGTAATCCAGTCCCTCATAGCACTGGTGAACGACCCACAGCCCAAGCACCCGCTCCAGGCTGACCTAGCTGAAGAATACTCTAAGGACCATAAAAAATTCTGTAAGAATGCTTAAGAGTTTACAAAGAAATATGGGGAAAAGCAACCTGTGGACTAAAATCTGCCACAAATGATTCCAGCAAGTGTGAGCAGAGACCCCGAGCAGTGCATTCAGACACCCCACAAAGCAAGACTCTGTGGAAAATTGACACATGTCACCACCTGGCGTTCACTTGTGGCAGTTACTAACTTTCTAGTTTTCTTAATCAAAAGTGATCTAGTAACCTGTAAAGAAATGATTAAAAATTTCAGATATTCTAAAAAAAAAAAATAACAAACCATGTATTAACATATTAAGTTTTTTTAAAAAAGCGATCATATTATACATCCTGTTCTTTATCTTATTTTTTTCCCATATAATACATGAATGTACTTCCAGGTTGAAAACAACTGACATAGTCTGCTTTGGAAACTAGCGCTGCAATATACCATTCCATGGGGGAAAAGAAGAGCATAGTCCTTGCAGTCAATTCTGGCACTGTCTCCTACTAGCAAGGTAGGTTTTGAGTAAGTTTCTGGCCTCAGTTTTTTTTCTGTCATAAAATGGAGCACTCTTAAGTTTCAGTAAAGATTTAAGAATATAAACCAGGCATGGTGGTGCATACCTGTAATCCCAGAACTTGGGAGGCTGATCGCCACAAGTTCGAGGCCAGCCTGGGCTACAGAGTAAGTTCAAGGTTAGTCTGAACTATCTAGTGAGATCCTGTTTCAAAAAACAAAAACAAAAAAACCTCAAACAGCAACAACAAAAAATAAGATTAAGAATATAATCATAGCTGGGCATGGTGGCACATGCCTGTAATTCCAGCACTCACTGCAAGTCGAAAGCCAACATGAACTACATAGCGAGACCTTGTATACATATTTTTTCATATTTGCAGAGATAAGAATAGTGCCTGGCCCAGAGACAGTCTTTGCGAAATGCCAGATATTAGAATAAACTAGTCTTTTATGGCTGAATAGGTCATTTCTGTTTTTTACTATTACAGTACTTTAATGAATATATCTTCATACATTTGTACAAAAAGCTGTCTCTTCAACTTTAATAGGCTGTCCTACAAAACCACAGTATCAATTTAAGTTCCACCAATGCCATATTAGAATATATTTTTTCCCATACCACATCAAAGTACCTGGTATCCATTTTCCCAAACTTTGCCAATATGGTACTAAAAGATATCCCAGTATTATGTTAATTGCATTGTTTTATTAGTAATGTGGTTAAATTTCCTTTGTGTACTATTTGTATTTCTTTTGTAAGTAGCTTTTCTATATGAATTGTCCTTTTTTTTCTATCTACTTAGTTTTCCTTTTTAATTTTTAGGACTTCTTTATGTAGGAAAATGATAATCAGAATCAATATTTCTAAAATAACCACGGGGGGTGGGGTGGGGGGTGACACACACCTGTAGTCCCAGCACTTGGGAGGCTGAGGTAGGAGGATTACCATCAGTTCGAGGCCAGCCTGGCCTACATAGTGAGATCCCATCTCAAAATCAAAAAACCCAAAAAACCCTACAAATATAAAATAATTACAGATAGGCAAACATCTACTTGTTTTATATTAACTCTTCTGTTAACCCCACAAAATGAGACTATTACTTCCATTTTAAAGATGAGAAAGTGAGGCACAGAGATTCATTTGCCTCAAATCAGGTAATAGTGATGGAAAATAAGTACTCTGTTGTCCATGTTATTTTAAAAACTTTTCTCCCTAGGTAGCTTTGTGTGTGTGTGTGTGCATGTGTGTGATCCCGATCCCTGCCACACCCTCTTTTGTTTGTTTTGGGGTTTTTTTGGTACCGGGGATTGGACTCAGGACCTTGCACTTACAAGGCAGGCGCCAGAACCACTGAGCTAAATCCCCAGCTCCCACCCCCTCTTTTGATACAGGGTCTCACTAAGTTGTTAAGTTGTGCAGGCTGGGCTTGAACTTGCAAACCTCAGTCTCTCAGAGTGCTAGGATTACAGGTGTACACCACCATACCCAGCTAACCTAGTGACTCTTACTATGTCTGGCTTCTGGTAGCATTTGGGGGCTACTGCGGATTAAACCCAGGGCCTCCACAGTGACTTAGACCCCCCAGGCCTGTGTATGTATCTATGTACTTTTAGACAGGGCCTAATGAATCACTAAATTGTTCCTACCTTGGCCTTCTGAAGTGCTTGGATTACAGGTGTGCACTACCCTGTTTGGCTAGTAGCTTATTTTTAAAGCACATTTTAATTTTCTGACTGGTCATATGTGATCCTTGTTCCTAGTGAAATGTTGATCACATTGGAAAACACCTTCATAATTTAAATATAAATCTTCAATAATTAAAATAGAAACTCATTTATAATACCAAGGAAATAGTTTTCTCCTTTTTTGGTTAGGATTTTTTTTTGGTACCGGGGATCAAACTCAGGACCTTGTACTGTTGAGGCACGCGCGGGTGTCACTGAGCTAAATCCCCAACCCTGGTTAGGATATTTATGCTACTTTGCTATCATTATATTTATAGTTGAGATTTCAAAATTTCTTCATTACTTTGAACCTAGCATTTTGATATTAATTCTAAGAGTTCAGGGTAGGCAGGAATATATTTTTTAATAAAAAATTTTATGTATTAAAACTGTGTGTGTGTGTGTGTGGTCTCACTATGTAGTTCAGCCTGGCCTTGAACTAGGTATGTAGCTCCAGGCTGGCCTTAACCTCACAGTGAGTTCTTCTGCCTCAACCTCCCAAATGCTGGGATTACAGGCATACACTAGCACACCTTTCTAGGAAAGGTAATCAAGTATTATTAGTATTTTCAAATACTACTTGAAGAGCTTGTGGAGGTTGGGGAGTTGCAGAACTGGGTACTAGAGATTGAATTGAAGTCCTCTGAACTGAGCTACATCTCCAAAGTTTTTTTTAAGTCTTTTTTTTTTTTTTTTTTTTGGACAGGGTCTTGCTATGTAGCTCAAGCTGGCCTTGAACTCTAAGGGATCTTCCTGCCTCAGCCTCCTGAGTGCTAGGATTATAGGCATGTGCCACTATGCTGGGCTCCTTTTTTTTAATATTTAAGATGTTGTTTGTAATAAGAAAAACTCTAGAAAGACAATTATAGGTATTGAAAAAACACTTAAAATAGGAGAAACAGGAGCTGGAGATATAAGTCAATGATAAACACATGCTTAGTGTGCCCAGGGCCATGGGTTTAATCCCTACCACTGCCCCCCAAAAGGGGGAGAAATAATGTGAGATTTAAAATAGCAAAATGTGTATATGCTCAAGAAATTTGTAGATATTTATTTTTTAAATTTTTAAATTTTTTTAGTAGCAGGGATGGAATCTGGGACCTTGTGCTTTCGAGGCGGGTGGCAGAACCACTGAGCTAAATGCCCGGCCCTACACATATTTAAGAGAGGTAATCACCTATGAAAATAATCCAAGAGAATGGTGGTAAACACAAGCCCGAGGAGCTGTATGAATGCCCACTCCTGTCCAGACATTTAATGATTTCCAGTAAAGCATTAAGGTTACATAAACACAAAGATGATGGTTAAGTCCAGGAAATCTTGACTCTTTTCAAGTCACCAGCCACAGATAACAGATAATACACAGATGCCACTCCCTCACTAGGGACATCTGTCAGTACATAGTTACATGCATACATTTTCAAATAGGAAGGCAGACACAGGTGTCCTGCTATTTTGAGAATCACTACTCTATATTACAGAGAAAAAAGCTCAAAGAAATAAAAATTGGCAGTGTTCATGTAAGCCCTGCCTAGTGTGAAGGATTGGTCCTTAAAAGGTACCCTGATCCTAATTATAAAAATCCCTGTTTCTATTTCCAGGCTCATTAGGCAAACATCTCACCATGGGTTGGCCTCACAGATAGAACTGCCTTCAGGAAAGCAATGTGTTGTCTCACTGGAAAGTACAAGCTCTCCAGGAGCTTCGTTTCCTGATATAGCCCTAGAACATGGCCAAACACACAGAAAAGATGCTCAATCAATCTGACTGAAAGCCCAAAAACGTGAGCAATCTGAACCCTGTGACAAGACAGTTCTTCAAAGCAGAGTATGGTGATGCATGTCTGTAATCCTAGCACTCAGGAGGCTGAAGCAGGAGGATCACCATGAATTTGAGGCCAGCCTGGGCTATACAGTGAGGTGAAGTTCAGCCTGCACTACGTAGTGAGATCTTATCTCAAAAAAACGAAAATGTTTTTACAAAAAAAAATCCCAAAATACCCCCACAAAAACCAGTTCTTGGGGTCAGGGATTTAGCTCAGTGGTTCCACCACCTACCTCGCAAGCACAAGGTCCAGAGTTCAGTACCAAAAAAACACCCAAAACACCAGTTCTTCAACTTTAATTACTGATCTAACATAACCTATGCCACTGTCACTGTCCTCTCAAAATTAAATTTTTGAAGCTAGGTGTGGTGGCTCATGCCCATAATCCCAGCACTCCAGAGGCTGAGGCAAGAGAATTGCCACCAGTTTGAAGCCAGTTTGGACTACAAAGTGAGACCTTGTCTCAAAAAAACAAAAACAGGGGCCGGGGATTTAGCTCAGTGGTTCTGGCACCTGCTTCGCAAGCTCAAGGTCCAGAGTTCGATCCCCGATACCAAACCAAACTAAACAAAACAAAAAGCCAGGCACAGTGGCACACTGAAGGTGGAGGAAAGAAGACTGAGAATTTGAGGAGCTGTTCTAAGCACTTTATAAAACTAACTCATTTAGTCCTTAAAAATTGACCTGTTAGGTAGTTATTGTTGTTACTCACATTTGAAGATAAACAAAATGGGGAGTACCAAGGCTCAGCACCCCACATAAGATCAGCCAGTGAGTGCCAGGGTCCTCTAGCTCCAGAGCACAAGCTCTCAACCACCATGCACAGTACACCCCATCTGCCAGCAGGTCTGCCTTTCTATGGCTGACCTTAACCAAATACTTCCCTTAGGAAATAGTAATACTATGTACCTCAAAGGTGTTTTTTGTCACACCAGCAAGCCCAAAGTACATCATGCCTCCAGTTCTGGAGCTAACACAGATTTCTCCAATTTCATCCGTTTTGCAGAGCTGGGGAGGTCCATCTGGTTTCACAATGCACATCATTCCTGGTGCACAGAAAATATAAGTAAGACAGAAATTCTGGAAAACCTTAGCAAATAACAGCTTTATTCTGCAACCCCAGGAAAAATTCACATTTACTGAGTGGCATTAAGAATACTAAACAGATATACCAATACCCCGCAATCAATATAATCGATATCGTTATGCAATACAAACACGTACTAATGAACAATTGTTTTTTGGTACTGGGGATTGAACTCGGGTCCTTGCGCTTGCGCAGCAGGCGGAGAAACCACTGAGCTAAATCCCTGGCCCTAATGAACATTTTTAAAAAGAATAATAAAGAGAGGCTAGAAGTACAGCTGAGTGGTAGAATGCTTGCCTCCTATGTGCAAAGCCCTGGGTTTAATCTCTAACAACACACACACACACACAGATAATAACAAAAAGAAATACTAAAAATAAAGCTGAAACTATGTTAAGTACAGTGTATCTGAAATTTAAAATTTTGAAGGGACAGGGATGTATCTCAGTTGTAGAATATTTATCTAGCATGTGCAAGGCCCTAGGTTTAATCTCTAGTACTGCAAAAAGAAGACTGTTTTAAAGCTTTCTTTTTGGTACCGGGGATCAAACTTGGGACCTTGCGCTCGAGAGGCAGGTGCTGGAACCACTGAGCTAAATCCCCAGCCCAGATTTAAAGCGTTTTGAGACAATGACATACTAAAAAAATGACCAGCAAGTACAAAGAAACAGGTTCAATGAATTTCGATATACCTCTAGGCAGGTCAAATTCAAATACTCAAGGAAGCAGTACATTTTTTCTATCAGTCTCAATGTTTTGGCAATACAGTGAAAACCAGGTAACTTTAGTATCACTAAGTACTTAACTTTCCATATGAAGAAGGACAATTGAAGTCTTCACAGTTGATCAATCACACAGCACTGGTGGAAAGGTCAGCATAATTCTACTTAATTATCAGAGAGGACTGGAGAAATTTTGTGCCTACTGAATTTAGGACTCTTGGCTTTGGACTTCCTATTTTCTTAGGCCCTACTATCGCTGGTCACACATCTTTATGAAAATCCAAATGGTGTCCCTCATGACTCACCCCCAGGCATTACATGACCTACATCCTGGACGGTCAGCGCTGAATTTTTATCCTCAGTATTGACCCGTATTACCCCATAGCTCAACCCATTCATTGAGAGAATGGCTCTTCCTGGCAGAGGAGCCCCTGGAACTCCGGGCCTGGAAAAAATAAAATAAAACAAACTCATTAAGTTAGGCAAATTAAATTATATCAAGAGAAAAATACAGACGTAATGTATGAACACAACTTTCCTCTGGTGAAAAATAAATCTCTATTTCCTCTACCAAACATATGCCAAATTAATCAAATTTGTATGTAAATAGCACAGAAAATTTTCAATTAAGTGCAAAAAGTATGTTCAATCACTTATTAAAAATATATCAGTAGGGGGCTGGGGGTTTAGCTCAGTGGTTCCGCCACCTGCCTCGAAAGCAAAAGGTCCTGAGTTTGATGCCCAGTACCCCCCCAAAAAGTTGGTAGAGCTGGGGATTTAGCTCAGTAGTGCTGTGCCTGCCTTGAAAGTATAAGGTCCTGAGTTTGAGGCCTGATACTGAAAAAAAAATATTGGTGGCTGGGCATGGTGGTGCATGCCTGTATTGGAAGGCTGAGGCAAGGGGATCGCAGTGAGTTTGAGGCCAGCCTTGACTACCCTTGGCTACATAGCAAGAGCCTGTCTCAAACAAAACCCCAAAACCAGTATATATATATGGTACTACAGTATATATTTTTCATACTCAAGCAATAATCACAAATATTCTCTAGTTTAAAATGCTAAGAATTCTTAAGAGCAGAACAACATAGAAAAATATTTCACAAATGGAGGGTTGGCAAGAAATATTTCACAAATATAAAATCAGAATAATTAAATTTTCAGTGCACTAGATATACTTCGGGCAAGAGTGGAAAAAATAAATGAGATATTTCAAACTACTTTAAGGCGATTTTTACTTTAGGCTTCTGAAGCAGAAAATCTGTTAGCACCCCTCTCTCATCGCCTGTACATTTCACCCAAACTGCAGCACACATCAGGAGAATGTGGCACCCTGCACAGTACCTTCGGATTGCTACAGTCATGGCTTCAGCAGATGTCGCACACGGACAAATGGCCTCAGGTTTCAGCCCGTGGCTTTGGAACAGACTCAGGAAGGCATCACAGGATGACACAGACCCTAAGGAGTTGGGACAGATCAACTCGAAAGCTGAAATTGTTAATCTCCATTACTTTATGAAACTGGTAAAGAGTGGAAAGCTGACATAGTTGTTTCTCAGGAGAACTCATATTGTCCACCATTCATTCTATACAAGTATTTACTGTGTCTGTGAGGTGGTCTGATACAATTTCAAAGACAAATTAATGTTTATCCAACATGCAAGGTCATTGTATTTAAAATTACAACTTGGAATAAGACTGTGCTGGACAGACTGACAAAAGCAATATTAGAGACAACACTGCAGGGAGTATGGAGCTGGTTCATAATTTAGCAACCCTTCCTGAAGTAACTAGCATACCCAACAAAATGCAGGCTTGGCTTGGTTCCATCTTTTATGTGATACTCTTTGACTTTTTTCATATTAAAGTCCATCCCATGTGTTTACATAAAGTTCATACATCAAGTCACCTTATATCTCTCTTTTTACCTAAGGAATATCCATAGCCATATGATAGAAAGAGGATATAAATGAGCAAGGAGTGGTTTTAAAAGCTTATGAACTGGGCATGGTGGTGCACATCTGTAACCCCAGAACTCCAGGAAGCTAGGGTAGGAAGATCACAAGTTCAAGGCTGGCCTGGGCTACACAGTGAATTCAAGACCAGTTTAGACTACATACTGAATTCCTGTCTCAACAAAATACAACACAAACTTAGAGGAAAGCGAGTGTGGGAGGGCTTAATCCATAAAGGAAAAGCCACCCTTAGACCCATACTCCAGAAATACTCACAGGGATTAGATCCATCAGTCACAATTAACATTCGGAGAGAACTCAGGCTCACATCCCTCTGGTCCCGATGTGCCATCATAGCCCAGTGTAAGTCTCGACATTTTACTAAAGCTACTTTGGCTATAAATCAAAGGGGATAAAGTTAACAAACACATTAAACCTGGTAAATATTTAATATACTATATACGTGTTTACTTATTTTGGGGATCATAATTCTCACTCAAAGAAAATTCAAAAGGTTTCAGAGACTGTGCTAGCTGCCAGAGGAAGAAAACACCACATTCAGACAAGTGACTAGATAGACAACTATTTGCTTAGTAGCCCCTCCAGATAGGCCACAATAGCCCAGCCAAGAAAACTTGGGATAACACAATGCTCAATAAATTTAATTCTGGGCTCAGAGTCAGGAGAATTCATCTCAGTTCTTTGGAAAGGATATCACTGAGATGAACCAGACAACACACAGTACCAAAGTCCATAATAACTGAACTCTAAAATTTAAGCCACCAAGACACAGAAATATGTCCCTAGAGGGGCCGTTTGAAAATCCCTAAACTCTTAATTCAAAAGTCACATAATTAAAGCTTAGATGTTGTGTGTGACTACCTTTGTGGGCATGTACTCTCTGGACCCAAGAGAGAGGACAGGTCTTCATAACAGAGTAGGGCACGCAAATTGTATGCATCTTATTCATTACATTCTGAAAGCAAAGAAACAAAACGCAATCAATATCAAATATATACTGTAGCATTTCCAAACTGAGGTGACATTTTGTCATCAATTTTAATTATAGAAGTTTACTCAAATACATGCTTTTTGAAAAAATCTTGAGTTATTAATAATAGGATTGAAATTCCTTGATACTCTCTATTCTAGTTCCCTCCACTCTCCCCCAGAGATGATGACAATTACAAATTTGATCTATTCCCACAATAAAGTAGTATAGCTGGGTCATAGGGAAGATGGTTTTAAAATGCTTACAGAGGGCCAGGGATTTAGCTCAATGGTTTTGCTGCCTGCTGTGCAAGCACAAGGACTGGAGTTCAATCCCCAGTACCAAAAAAAGAAAAAACGCTAACAGATACAGCTGAAATGTGCTCCACTCAGCAAGTGCTTCCATTGTACCCATGCCAGGAGTATTATAAGATAAGAAATCCAAGCTGCTCCATCTCTTGCAGGCATTCTTGCCCAGACCTGTAAAGTGTGTGGTCAGGTAAGGCTGAAGGAGTGAGTATCATGGAATTTGGTGTTTGTCCCGCCTCCCAGAGCAAACACACTCAGATGTCATGCTCCCAGAGACTGAGCCAGGCAGAGTAACCAAGGGTTGGTATTCAGATCCATCACTTCGCTCACCACCGAAGTGGCCCACAGAAACCAGGGCACCATTCCTCTCTTCCTTAACTTTCTATCTCTGGTGAGAAACTTTTGGTTTCAGGATAAAGAGTACTTTTATAGCCAAGTCTTCACAGGCACTTAACTTGCGTTCTGTATAACAGGGAGGAGATTCCTCCAAACTCTTCAGAAAGTTTTTCATTTTTTTAACTTCTGATTTTAAAAAAGGATATAGGAAAGAAAGCGCTAGACAGGGGCTGGGAATTTAGCTCAGTGGTTCCACTGCGTGCTTTGCAAGCTCAAGGACCAGAGTTCAATCCCTGGTACCAAAAGAAAAAAAAAGAAAGAAAGAGCTAGACAGTAGTTACAGTCAAGGAATAAAGTTCTTCCCAATTTGGGGAGGAGGTATTCTCTGAAGAAAAGGGGATCTTTCTTTCCTCCCCTCATGCTTCATTTTCTCTCCTTGCAGGCTCCCACAGTATCAAAGGAAGAGGGACTAGACACTCTCTAAGGTCCTTTTCAACTCCAGGATCCTGTATTTCTTCTCTCTCCTAAATGGCATTTTACATACAAATATGCAATGTCCCCTCCCTCTCTACCTCTACCCAACTGTTTTCTAAAGACCACATAAAAACTGCCTTGATGCCTAGAGCCAGAAGGAAGTCACCTTTTGCTAATATCCACAACATGTCACTGTTCCTCTGTTATGGACAGTATACCCATCGACTCTGTGATTCTCTTCTTCGGATGCAACATATAGCTCAAACAGGGCAGTCCTTCAATACAATTTGTCCTATGGAACAATTAGGTGTCCTCTAGAAAATAATTATCACTCTTTTGGGAGCTTAAATATCAAATAAGCCCTGAGAGATGCTCCATCTTACATAGCATGCTGGCCTTAATCTTAAACACAATTTATATACTAGAGGCCTTAATTCTGAGTAGCTTACCGAAAACATGCCGTGCCATAGTCCAGCATCCTTCTTAAAGTCTAAAACATTTACTACTGTTTCTCCTAAAAGAGAAAAAAACAGGAAAAACCATGGAAATTATCTCCAGTGTTAAGCAGCAATATTGTGTCCTTAACCTCTACTAAACAAATGATTTGGTGCTTTTAGGGAAATGACTGAGAGTTCTCAGGCTTCTATGATTGCTTAAGGTCTCTGCCCACTGGCTTTAGGGTCAAAAATAGGGTGATAAGGTCAGAACAGAGACACTGTATAGAAACTCATCACTTAGGTATTTTTTTCAAGAGGTTTTCTTTGTTGTTGTTGTTTTGCTTGTTTTTGGTACTGGGGATCGAACTCAGGACCTTACACTTGCCAGGCAGGCACTGTGCTGCTAAGCTAAATCACCAGCTGTTTTCTTTTCTTGAGCCAGGGTCTCGCTGTGTAGTTCAAGCTGGCCTTAAACTCACTATGTAGCCCAGGATGGCCTTGAACTAATGACGATCCTCCTGCCTTAGCCTCCTAAGTGCTCGGTCTATAGGTGTATGTCACCATGCCTTGCTGTTGTTGTTTTTGAGATGCGGTCATGCTATCTATTCCAGGCTGGCCTCAAACGAGGTGATCTTCCCGCTCAGTCTCTGGAATCTTGGGGATTACAGGTGTGCACCACTGTGCCTCGCTTCAAGAGGCATTTTTCCTCTTATAATAAGGAACACGTCCATTCATTCATTTATGTGTATGTGTGTGTGCATTTTTGGTACTGGGGAGCAAACTCACGACCTTGCGCTTGCAAGGCCAGCATGGTGACACTGAGCTAAATCCCCAGCCCCTATGCATATATTTTTGAGACAAGTTCTCATTGTGTAATTCAGCTTGACCTTGAACTCACTATGTATGAGGCTGACCTCCTCTGCCCCAGACTCCTGAGCACTGGGATTACAGGTATGTGCCACTATGCCTGACAAGGAACACATTTATTTTAGAAATTTTGGAATTTTTTACAAATAATATAGAAAAAATTATATTCCTTACAGAAATTAAAAATATTAGCCTACAAATATCTGTAGACACATACTTCTAGATCTAATTTATTTTTACATTTAAAGCCATATCTATTGACACGGGTATGGTGGTGTACACCTATAATCCCAGCACTCAGGAGGCTGAGGCAGAAGGATTACTGTGAGTTCAAGCTCAACCAGGCCACATAGTGAGTTCAAGGCCAGCACGACCTATGTAATGAGCCCCTGTCTCAAAAAGGGGAAAGAAAAAGAAAAAAAGATGTATTAAAACCATTTCTCCCTACTTTAATATTCAAGATCATTTTGAGTGCCTCAATGTATAATACATTTTATGAATACATTATAATTAAATCAATCTCCATTTTGCAACATGTTGATCGCTCCATTATGTATATATAAATATATTTTATGATAAATATTTTTACCAAAGAATTCTGCTCTAAAATGAAAACATATTAACTACTTTCATTTTGCAAAAGAAAAATGGAAACACCAAAAATATTAATATTGCAAAGAACATTCAAAAGCAAATAGTTTGAGACTACAGAATACTTTGTGTTTTAATTTGTACTTTCTGGTAGATGATATTTTTTTTTTTTTGGTACCAGAGATCGAACTCGGGACCTTGCGCTTGTGAGGCAGGAGCCGGAACCACTGACCTAAATCCCCAGCCCTAAATTTCTTTTTATCTGGCAGCTCTGTACATACGGGAAGATGGAGATACCTGAGATTCCACAACTAGTAAATACATGGCTTTAATTATGATTTTTCCATTTCTGTACTCTAGAAGTCATGCTTTTGCCAGGGACTTAGCTCAGTGGCTCTGGCGCCTGCCTCGAAAGCGCAAAAGGTCCTGAGTTCGATCTCTGGTACCAAAAAAAAAAGAAATCATGCTTTACATATTTGGTTCACCCAGAACTTTAGTTCCTTTAAATTATAGCATATTTGTGAAAAAGAAGAAAACAAAAGCAAGCCAAGAATATATCTTAGAACATTTCCCTCTGAATCTGGTCATTAAATGAAATCCAATCACCAAGCACTGCTCACAGTCACACATAGCTGAGGCTGACAATAGGGCAGTCATGGGACAAGGTCTGACCTTCAGAATAATTGCAGGCCTGCGACAGAGCTTGGCAGTGAGACAACATTGCAAGCCGGGACACTGTAACTCCCATTACACTCCCTTCTTTGCTGGTTTTATACTAGAAATATAAAACAAAAACAAAATATAAGAAACATGACAAAATGGGTTAATTTAAATGACAAAATGAGAATCCAAAAATAAAACCCAGATAAACCATCATAATGAGTTGAACTTAACATTCTGAATATAAATACTTAAGGCTTTGCACTTGGATCCCAAATTCTTAATAACATAAAGATAGAAGTTGAGGATGACAAAGCTCAAAAAAATATAGGAGAAAAAGGCTTAAAAGTTTAATTAGTCATCAGTGTGAAATGGCTACTAAAAAAGCTAAAACAAGTGACTCAGACTCCATGAACAGCATACCACCAGATACACTCATCCCTCACAATCTACGTGTAGGTAGTTTCAGGACCCCCTCGATACTAAGATCTACAGATGCTCAGTGTCTTATGTAAAATGGAACAGTATTTGCATATAACTCACGAACAACTTCCCGTAGATTTTCCATCTCTGTGTTCCTTATAATACTGAATACAATATAAATGCTAAGTAAATAATTGTATTGTTGAAGGAATAATTATCCTAATCTGTATATGGCTGCTACAGATGCAATTTTTTCTGAATATTTTTGAGATTGAATCCTCATGTGGAACTCACAGATACAGAGTGAGATATGTCATTCAACATGGCAAGCACAGGACTGCAGAGTTAAAAGGTGTGTAAGATGTGGTCCCTGTTCATTTGAAGCACCCAGTTTCACAGTTGGAGACCTAGAAATGAATGGCCCATTCAGTCTTTTGCTTGTATCCTTACTGCTCCATTCCTGTTGCTTTTTACAAAGATCATCAGCTTTTTATTTTTTTCCTTGGTTCTCCCTGCTATTCTGGGTCCATGCACAGAGTGGATGGAGCAAGCTCCTATTCCATCTCTCAGCTCCAAAACTCCGTTTACTATACTATTCTTGGATAGAGGGCAGTCCAGCCTGGCCTTGAATTCGAGGCAGTCCTTCTCCTACTTCTTCTTCTTCTTTTTTGGGGGGTACCGGGGATCAAACTCAGGACCTTGCACTTGTGAGGTAGGTGTGGTGGGCAATCCTCCTGCCTCAGCCTCCCAAGTGCTGTACAGGCAGGCAGCACCACGCCTGGCTTTTACTACTCTTTCTTAACAGTTTCTCCTTTCTTGGTTTTGATAGTCTAGCCTCTTTTTCTCAATGTTCTCTCACTATCAGTGACCATTTCTTCTATGCTGGAGTTCCCTGACAGTTCTGTCATCCCTCTTCCTTTCACCTTATCCATCAGTAATGCATTTCCCAGGTCCATCAGTAATACAATTCCCAGGTCTCTCCCACTCCTTCAGAGATCCAGACTCATGGTGTCAAATGTTCCCAAGTACCTTTAGTTCTGTGAAACCCAATGCACCTAACACTACATTTACCACCCGTTCTCTATCCATGAAAACTCTTGCTATGTTTTCTTAGTGAAGGATGCACCATCGATGCAAGTGCCCAAGTAAAAACTTCAGTCTTTCTTACCTTCTCCCTCTTCCTGTCATTCAACTAAGTCCTGCCTGTTCTACTTCTTTTCTAATTACCAATTTGTGCTTTCCTCTATCCCCACTACTTGGAGCTTGAGCTCATTTGGATAACTGTAAAAGGAAGATAAATCTTTTTATATCATATTCATTCTCATTACTCTCCTGCTGACAATTTCTCAATAGCTCCCTTTTCCTACAGTCTATTTTAAACTCACTAGGAGAGTCCTATGGGTAATAGGAGAACCTAAAATAAGAATGCCAAATTAATTCAGAATAGCAAGAGCCGAGAAATATAGAGCATAGCAAGTTCTACACAAGGCCAGAGAGCTATGCAAGAGCTCTCCACCTTTTAGGAAGAAATCAATGAAGACTGAAAAGGAATGATCAGTAGGGCTGAGGAATGGAGAGACAGCAGTCCAGGGAGCCTGGGGCTAGAATTTTTTTTAAAGAGAATGGAATAAGGAACTGTGTCAGCACTGACAGATGATAGAGACAAAAAGGTGATCACTAATTTTGGTATTTTATTTTATTTATTTATTCATTTTGGTACCAGGAACTGAACTCAGGTCGTTGCACTTGTGGGGCAGGTGGCGGAACCACTGAGCTAAATCCCTGGCCTAATTTTGGTATTTTAGTTGCTTGTCTACTTGACTTAAAAAATGCAAATCTCTTCTATCCTTAAAAATAATCCTCACATCCCATATTATTCCATCACCTCTTAAAGCTACTGTTCCCCCCCCCCCAGACGGCCAAGGCAGCCGGAACTTCCTTCATTGCACCCCACAAGGAGGGTGATTCCTTGCCCCTAATCTTTTTTTTTTTTTTTTTGGTACTGGGGATCGAACTCGGATACTTGCGCTTGCGGGGCAGGCGGCAGAACCACTGAGCTAAATCCCTGGCCCCTTGTCCCTAATCTTTTAAAAAATTATTGATTTTCTTATTAATTTAGCAATGAGCTGGTAAGCATATATCTCAAGTAGGATGCAGTAGGATGGAGGCAATGGCTTCAGAGTCAGAGAGACCCAAGTTTGTGTGATCTTTGGTTACTTAGGTGTTGTAAATCTTAGTCTCCTCTTCATCTACAAAACAGGCTTCATAAAAGTCCGAGACTCACAGGGTATATTTGGAGGACTGAGATAATGCATCTAAAGCACTTAGCCTGGTAGCTGGTGTGCTGTAAGACTTGATCCTGCAATTACATTTTCAGTCAATGGAGTTCCTACATTAACAATTCAATACCACTCTAGCTACTTGTTTCTTGTTATTTTTCTATCTATCGAACTTGTCTTCAAGCAAAGCTATTTTCTCTCCTCCTTTCTCCATCCCCTTGTTCCCAACTCCCCTAAAAGCAGCAGAGAAATTTCTCTGCCAGTAAATCATTTAAGTCTTTATACTTCTTGAAAGTCTTTTGTAATTTTCTTACATGAAAAATCAACTTTTGGTACCTTTCTTGAGTATTTAGGATCAAAATAATTACAACAGCAAGTCTACCAGTCATTTTTTAAGTCATAACATGGAAATCTCACAAAGCAAGAGGATCTTCTAATTTGAAAACTGTGACCAAGGCCAAAGGAAAGCCAGAAAGCATGTTCCAGGCCTCAGGACTTACCTCAATGTATGCTGGTTCTGTACCAGCAGGTGGTATGTGGGGCTGCCAGTCTTTAGGTGGCTTGGAAAGGTACTTGGAATCTGTTACAACCCACTTGAGCCGGGGCCAACCTAAATCAAACCCAAAGTAAAAAGTGAATTGCCTCAGTCATCCAGGAAGAGTTCACACTGGATTGGTCATTTAGAAATATAGAGTATCATGCACCCATGTTCATAGCGGCACAGTTTGTAATAGCTAAAACTTGGACACAGCCCAATTGCTCATCAACTGGAGACTGGATAAAGAAAATGTGGTTTTTTAATAAAATGGAGTACTACTCAGCCATAAGAAATGAGAAATTAGACATTTATGGCTAAATGGATGCACATTGAGGTGACAGTCTTTTTTTTTTTTGGTACCGGGGATCGAACTCGGGTCCTTAAGCTTGCACAGCAGGTGGTGAAACCACTGAGCTAAATCCCTGGCCGAGGTGATACTCTCAAGTGAAATAGGACACACGCGTAAATACCAAATAGTTTCTCTGATGTGAGAAACTGAAACTGTAAACAAGGATCAAAAGGTATAATAGATAATGTGAAATAGGAAGAAAAGGAGCAAAGGGGAAGGGGAAGTGGGAACCGTTGGGGAAAGGAAAGAAGGGAATGGAATACAAGAAAATGAAAAAATGGAAACAAAGTCTTTGTAAACAGGGAGGGTTGGAAAGGTTGAAGGGAGGGGAACAGGGAAAAAATAAGAACCAAGATATACTATGTAAAGGTGCAAATTTCCAATGATGGATGTCATTATATTGTATACTTAAAATGTACCAATAAAATTAATTTTAAAAATATATAAAGTATTTAGCTGTTACTAAATTAACATGCTAATTAAGGCACTAAATTTTAACTTTTAATTGATAATCTCCAAATAAATATCAATCACCTTTAAACTGCACAATTTCTCCATTCTGGGTTTTTGGCAGTCCCTTTAGACAAACTTCACTGGTAAGAGCTAAGGCAATACCACAGCTTCCTAGTAAGAAGCCAATCTGTTGACCTCCGGCATCCTGTGGACAAAAGATAATGAGCTTGGTAGGGGAGAAAATGTGAGCACACCCAGGCCACAAATCCAGCACTTCCTAATGCTCTGGCACTAGTGTGACAACATTCATGGAGCCCAGTGACAATATGTTCTTCCAAATAATTTCTACAATATAATGACTTCCTAAGTATAAACCACATATTTTATTAACCTGTCGTGCTAATTTTGAATCCCACTAGCAAATGTGACCATTTCATCCAAAGGTCAACAATGATTCTCTTTAAGACTAGTTTTAGGCAAATGAAATAAATACTGACATGGTTAAACTGTCTTCCCCAACCCTACACTCATATCCAAGAGAAAGCAATTCAGGTCAGAACAAAATAAATAATGCAAACAGATGTCACATGTCCAAATTTACAATAAAAGTCAGTGGACAGTTATACCAATCCATTCCTTTTATTACAGAAGGTATTGGAGGTAGATTTAAGCCTTAAAATAATGGCAGCAAACCCCCACCCAGAGAAGATGAAATCTAAAGTATTTCCATTAAAATGGTATCCTAAAAGTATCCTTATGAAACCACACAAATACTGCCAACTTAAAAAAATTTAAGAACCCTATGATTTCCTGACCAACTGGAGAATACTATATCCTATCAGCTAGAACTTCAGGAATGTTACCAATGTGTTTTTTAAATTCCTCTCAAAAAGTAATTTTTTTCTTATAAATCTGCTGTCTTCACCATATTCATCACTAACATCAATTCTCAGTAATAAACCAAGAAAATTAGTATAAACAGTTTGTGGAGAAATACTTCAGTCAAATATGGAATTCTGTTCCATACTCTTTATTCAATAAGACTGATGTGCTATGAAAATAGAATCTTATAATTCCAGAGTAGGGATACACCACCCCTAATCACCCTCCCATTTAATGGAAAACCTAGGTCATATGACACGGTTAAAGGAAATTCCTTTATAAAGGCCTCTGAAACAAGAGTGGTAATCTTTATGAATAGAAATTATTGACAAGTATGCCTCCATGATTTTTTAAATGATATACAATACACTAGATACAAACAATACATTAAGATACAAAACATTCTATCTTAGGAATGTTATTTGTATGACACTTATAAATACTAAATAATTTTTCTACAAATTTTGTGATTTTAAAAAGTGAAGGTGGGCCGGGGAATTAGCTCAGTGATTCCGCTGCCTGCCTTGCAAGCTCAAGGTCCCAAGTTCGATCCCCAGGTACCAAAAAAAAAAAAGTGAAGGTGAGTAATTTGGAAAATGGTCAGATTATTTTTAATGTCAATTTGACCCAGTTCACTGCGTCTGCCTTGCAAGCTCAAGGTCCTGAGTTTGATCCCTGGTATCAAAAAAAACCACCAAAAATCCAAACCAAAACACAATAGCATGCCCCCTCCGCCCCCCCATTTAGCAATGTTACCTTTCTGGTAAGTGGTACCTCTATAGGCACTGGAATCACTTCTGCGAGGAGACATCCATAGAAAGCTACCATAAACATGACTGGATCATTGTTGGGGTAAACCAGAGCTACCTAAAATCCATAAAGACATTCAATAATAGAGGAACATTAACTTTCAATCCCGCTCTTATCATAAGCACAATAAATCAAACTAGTTAACAGAAATTTGCTCTAATGAAAATTAAGTTACCAATAAGAACACAAAAACAAAGTATCTCCATCATTTCCATGATTATATAATTTGAGAAATAAAAACGTAATTCATCACCATTATCATAAGAATTTTTCATTTAATTCTATTGGAAATTTAACAGTAAACAATTCACCTTAAATGTTAAGAAACCTAGAGCAATTTACTTTAGTGCACTGCTAAAGCAACAAAATAAACATAATGGATTTCTCTAGATAGAACAGCATATTAAAGAATAAGCTTTACATTTCAGAGGCAGCCTACAAGTGTTGACTGATTCAATTACCACCTCAGGGCCAACATAAGGCCTCCTGTTCTTGAATTCATTGCATTAATCCCTAACCACACAACAAAGCAAGTGTTCTAGCATGCGAGTATTTGTTAAGAAATACAAATAATAGAGATCATTACAGATATAAAAGTTAATTCATGGGGGCTTGAGGGTGGGAATGGGATAAAATAAAATTTATTAATGACTTCTTTTTTTGGGGGGTACCGGGGATTAAACTCAGGACCCTGCGCTTACGAGGCAGGCATGGTGCCACTGAGCTAAATCCCTAGCCCTAATAAAATTTATTAACAAAAAATTAGTTAATTCATTAACAAAAGATAAATAGTGAAGCCAGACATGGTGGTGCACACCTGTAATCCCAGTATTCCAGAGGCTGATGCAAGAGGATTATAGTGAATTCTGGACCACATAGTAAGTTCAAGGCCAATCCAAATTACACAATGACACCTTGTCTCATAAAACCAAATTTGAAAATAAAAAATTAAATAATATTTTAAAGGACTAGGGATATAGTTCAGTGCAAAAACCTTGGGTTTAATGTTCAATCCCCATTACCATTAAAAAAAAAAAAAAGAACTAGCCATGGCGGCATACACTGGTAATCCCAGCAGTCAGGACGCTGAGGCAAGAGGATCATTGTGAATTGGAGGCTAACTTGAGCTAACAGTTAATTCAAGGCCAGACTGAACTATATAGCAAGACCCCAAACAAAACAGTGGAGTAGAACCTCTATAATATGTTCAAACTTGTGATCTCACCTGCTCCACATCACCAAAATAACTGACCTTTCAAAATTTACTAAAGGCATGCAAAAACACAGAAGCCATTGTCACTGTGGAATTTGTTACTGGCTTGGATATTCACAGATTAACATTTAGCACTTACTTCTATTACCAGGCTCTTGTTTTCCTTTCCTCTGCTTTCAGTTTCTTTTTCTCCCTCTTTTTGGTATTTTGAGACAAGGTCTTGCTATGCAGTTCAGCATGGCCTTAAACTCACTATGTACCCCAGACTGGCCTTGAACTCACGGCAATCCTTCTGCCTCAGTCTCCCGAATGCTAGGATTACAGACATGCACCACCATGCTAGACTTCAGATTCTTTTAACTCACTCCTAAGATAAATTCAGTCTGAACCTTTTAAACTTTCCTAGAGCTCCAACATTCTCGTTCCACAGGCCTTCAGACAATTTCCTTCCTATGTATAATGCCCACGTCGACACCTGGGTAGATACATCACCTTCTTAAGGTTGAACGAGGCACAGGAAACACTCAAATGTCACATCTGTAACTAAAAGCCATACTGCCAAAATGTAAGAAGTATTTTACCAGGGTAGTTTACTAGATTCTGTAATCATGAAGCTACTAAAAAGAAGTCTGTTTGTAGTCGGTATTTCATTTCACAAATTCCAAATGAAAAGTAATGCTTTTTTGGGGTTTTATTTTGTTTTTTTGGTACCGGGGACCGAACTCGGGACCTTGCACTTGGAAGGCAGGTGCCGGGAACCACTGAGCTAAATCCCCAGACCAAAAAGTAATGATTGATGTAATAATCATATTCAGAAAGTCATTAGTAGGAAAAGACCTTCAAAAAACATTTTAAAATTTAACTTACTGTCACCTTTTTTAATGGTAGCAGTTTTATCAAAGGTAGGAAAAGAAGTAGGCTCTGCAGAGTGAGTCTGGGCCAAATAAAAAGAAAAGAAGTACACCCTGCAGCGTGAGGGCAGCCACCATGCAAGAGTGAACATAGTGGCCTGTCACTTTTGATTAAATAAAATATCAACTCATTTTTCTGAGTAGTAACATCAATCTCTTTCCTTTTCTATATAAAACAAGAGAAAATTGTTTAAAAGTTTTATGAGGCATTCTATAAAGAAAAATCAGTGTTAATTTTTATCGCTACTTTTATTGTCTAAATATTGAAGTATTTATTCCCAGAAAGATTTAGATTTCTCTTTTATTAGTCCTCAGGAGTTTACAAATGAGTAGCTTCAGAAAAGGGAGTGTGAACTGTCTTCAGTCTCTGACTAGAAAAACTATCTTGTGTGGTACTTGGCTAACTTGGGTTGGAACTAAGCAATTTAAATTTTCTTTTTCTGTTTTATTTTCGTGGTACTGGAAGTTGAACTGCAGGGCACTGCCACTGAGCTACATCCCTAGCCTTTTTAGTTTTTCTTAATTTTGAGACAAGTTCTCACTAAGTTGCTCAGGCTGGACTTGAACTCAAGCCTCAACAACCTCTCAAGCAGCTAAGATTACAGGTGTGTGCCACTGCATCCAGACACCATTTTTATTTAATGAGTTATGTAAATTTTCCTGTTATATATTATTAAAGCCCTAGAATGTGCACATTAGAAAACAATAAATACTATCTTTCTAAAAGCAAAACACAGCTGGGTATGGTGTTAGACACCCATAATCCCAGGACTCAGGAGCCTGAGGCAGGCAGCCTAAACCAAGTTTGAGGTCAGCCTAGGCTACACAGTAAGTCCAAGGACAGTCTGAACTATATATAGCAAGACCCTGTTTCAAAGGCTGGCTCCCCCTCAAATTAAATTAAAATAAAACCAAAAAACCAATTACCCTGTCTCCTGGTTTTAACACAGGTTCATTTTTGGTCCCCAGTTTATTAAGCAGTGTGTAGGCCAATTTTAAACTTCTGCTCCACAACTTTCCTGGATAAAGAAAAAAAAAGTCATATTAAAAAATACAGGCTGATTTCAGCAACACAGAGTTCAGCTCACCAGCAAGTTGAGTAAGACAATGGCTTCTTCCAGGTGACACCTTTGCCGGCACCCCCCCTCCCCCAGCGCAGAGCCAGCCCCTTTCCCACAGAAGCTCCAGATTCATTCCGTTTTAAGACCCAGTCCAGCCTGGAAACAAAGATAAATCACCCTGGTTTTTAGAATATTTTAACTTTTTTCTGATTTCCTGTGAATATACTTAGGAATAATTTGATGTGAGTTGATCACTTTTAAAGAAAGGAAAACAATTTCTCTTCCCCAAAGGACTGAAAAACAGAGGACTAGTTCTGTCCTAAGCATTTCCTAAAGAACTCAATGGATGCTATCAGATAGTTCAGGTAACTGGAAAGCAAACAGAATGACTCAAAACGATCCAACACTCCATACCACTCTCACTGTAAAATTCACTAACTGAAATGGAAATTGACTGTTTGAGACATACGGCTATATTCATAGATGTTAAACATGTAAGATCTGGCTAGCTAAATGATTTGAGGTTATACAGATGAAATTAATACTTAACTTCTGAGGTGAACACTAAATTCTTTTGGTCAAAAGAAAAAAGAAAAATCAATCCTTTTCTTTCCTTCTTCTTACCGCCCCCCCAGCTACTCTTAGAAACACTTATTTTAGATTATGAGGAAAGTGAAAAAAGAAATCATACAATTTTATTTTATGGTACTGGGGATCGATACTATTTTAAAGAGCTGCTACTTTTACGTACAAATTACTTAACAGGGGCATTCAAGGTTTAAAGCAGGTCAACCTGTACAATTTTTTAAATAAAAACTTATTTTTCCTCAAACACTATATTCAGTCTAGTATTATCTAGATAATAGATAAGAAAGAGTAAAAGTAATCTACTTGAATAAACTAGCAGTATAAGATCTCATGCCTGACCAGCATGTGGGAGGCTGAGGGAGGAGGATGGCCATGGGTTCAAGACCCTGTCTCAAAAAACAAATAACAAACAAGCAAACAAAAATCTCATAAACCAGGAGTGACTCCATTTTTCTTGAAAAGATTTCAAAAAGAAAAAACCCTTAAGGGCTGGATATGTAGCTACCAGGCACTGGCTTTGATCCCCAGTACCCTCAAAAATAAAATAAAAGATCAGAAAGAAATTTAAATGGAAAAGTACTGATTCTTTGTTCATTAGTAAATTTGTGCCTATTATGAGCAAAATGCAGGACACAGTTAAAAAGAAAAAGTAGTCAGTTTCAAATTTCAGATAAAACAACTTTATTTTCTCCATGCACATTAATACTGATTAAACTTTTTAAAAAATCTTCTAACAGTAAAGCATCAATAGATCTACAGTCTCTTCTTTCTGTAGTCTTTAAATATTAGTGGCTTGGGAGTGTTACATTAGCAAGTGAAAATATTTGTCAAAAGCTTTACTGAGAACTTAGGATCCTATTAAGTATTTGAAAAGATCCTTTGAAACATAATGACCAACAATTGCCAGGTATCAAGACAAAAATACTACCCATGACACTCCGAGGAACAGCTAGGCAACAGAAGAATCTGGACTCGGGGACACTCACCGTATGTGAGCGTGTAAACAGGTTTCCCTGTCACATCCAGCGCAGTCAGACAGGGGCACTTGGCTTGAGTGGCGCCCCAGCGCTGCAGGGCAGATTCTAGAGCAGGTGGCCAGTTACAGATAACGCCCAGGGGCTCCCCCTTCACAGGTGTCATCTGTCGGCCCTCAGGCTTGGGCTGGTTGGGGTCTGGCTGAGGTACTATACCAAAAAGAAATGAGGTGAAAGAAGACCAAGCACCAACAAACATAATTTTAATCCCAAATACACCTTCCTTTTCTCTTCATATTTATCCGATTTAAACTTAGAGAAAATAAAGTGCATGGTTACAAACAGTAATCTATACACTGGGCCTCAATTCCATTTTCCACTTAACGATGAAATCATATTCAACAAACAAATCCTGACCCCACACACAGAAAAACACAAAGTATAAATTTCTTTTCAGCAATTTCACAATTAGTAACCCTTTTTCCGATGCTTTACAGTTTATATCCAGTGTTACAGAGCCAGGCTCCATTGCACAGGGTTATGTTAAATGAAAAAGCAAAAACTACAGCCAGAAAACCCAATTTTACCTTCCCTTCTTATTAGTATAACCCTAAGCAAATTAATCCACCTGAGCTTTACTTTCATCTGTAAAATAGGAACAGTAATGGTACTGGGTCATCACGAGACTCAAGCAGATAAGGGGCAACACCAAACATTCCACGTCTCCACATTCGCACCCATTTCGCACAATGATCCCTTTGCCTCTTGGTAAACTCTTACTCATCCTCGGCACTGGCTCCAAAAGCACATTCCTTGGGAACCATCTCCACCCACTCTTGGAGGGGACTATCCCTTCCGTAATGCTCCCGCACTACGTAGTCGCACACCCCTCTTTTTTTTCATTCTGTATCCACCATAAATAACATTGCTATGAACATTTGTTTTGTTTTGGGGTTTTTTTTTGGTACCAGGGATCAAACTCCGAACCTTACGTTTGCAAGGCAGGCGGCAGAACCACTGAGCTAAATCGCTGGTCCTCGTCTACTCTTACTAAAGCACTAAGGATCAGCAACTTCCATTATGAGCCACTTCCCACACCAAAGACTGAGGGTTTCCTGAGGGAAAGGTCTTCTTTCCCTTACTGCCTCCAGTGCCTAAAACACAGAAGTTGCTCAACAACATTAAGTTGATTCCAACTGAATTAAAAACAAACAAACAGGGCCGGGGATTTAGCTCAGTGGTTCTGCCACCTGCCCCGAAAGCAAGTACAAGGACCTGAGTTCGATCCCAGGTACTAAAAAAACCACCAAAAACCAACCAACCAACCAAACAAACAAAAGCTAGATTGTTAACATGGTTATTCCAAGGAGGTCTGGAGGTGAATAATGTTTCATATACTCTGATACAGATAAAACTAAAGTTCTCTTAATTTTTCTACAATGAACATTATTCAGCTGATTTTTTTTTTTGTACCAAGGATGGAACTTGGATCCTTGTGCTTGCAAGGCAGGCAGCAGAATCACTGAGTTAAATCCTCAGCCCTCAACTGATTTTTAAAACCCTACATTTTTATAAATGGAAAGATCATTTATACATAGAACAAATAGTCAAGTATTTACTAAGGGCTAATTAAGTACACAGAATATGATAAACATTGAAAAAATAAATGCTGCAGATATCATACTTTGAACAAACATTTTTGTGCCTAATATGTACTTGGCCCAAGCATCCAGCACGCACTGGGAACATACACACTCAGAGCAAAGACTAGGACAATGTGAACAGTGTGCAAAGACATATTTTGGGAGAGGAGGGATACCACACTCAACTGGAAGAGGTAAAGCCTACGCTGAGCCTTGAAGGGTAGATAGGAAATTTGACAGGTAAAAGGGACATAAATGAAGTGGCACCACCACCCTGCTGCCACTGCAAAAGGGAGAAAAGACAGAAGCAGCAACAAGTGTTAAATGGGCAAAATAAATAGGAAAATAAATTGTGTTTTATGGCTAAATATAATGACAGATTTGGGAAGCTTAAAGTGTTCTGATTCATTTTTCTGCCAATACCAAGCTCAAGAAACAGCTTCACTCTCCAATTCACTGTCCTAGATAAAGTCTCTGCTAACCTTGTATAGTAGCAGATTCCAAGTTAATTCATTTACATTTTTTAAAAAGCCACAATGAGTCCCAATAATTCTAGTGTTATGGACAGACTACATATGTGTAGCATGGCTTTCTGAATATAAGTGTCTGTATTACTGCCATCCTGCATCAGGACTCAACACAAGCTCTGGGCACAGCCTCTGAAACTTCTAAGATATACTGCTATTTTTCTTTTCCAAAGGTAGCAACTGATCAAACAAGAGAGGATTGCCTATTTATAATTACTAGAATGCTGTTAGGTATAGTCTACCAATGTGAATTATTCAAGTATGATTTCTATTAAACCTCCACCTTCATTTGCCAGGTCAACAAACAGTGCTAGGAAGACTAGAAAGGCTGTTACTGGTGTGGGCACCTTGGACATCAGTACATCAAGAAAGATGTCCACAGTTCAGTGAGTTTAATGACTCCTAAGAGACACAATCTCATCTTAACCTCACGTCAGGTTGTTTTAAAAACAAAACAAGGGCCGGAGATTTAGCTCAGTGGTTCTGCTGCTTGCCTCTCAAGTGCAAGGTCCCGAGTTCAATCCCTGGTACCAAAAAAAAAAAAAAATTAGGGGCCGGGGATTTAGCTCAGTGGTTTCACCATCTGCTGTGCAAGCGCAAGGACCCGAGTTCAATCCCTGGTACCAAAAAAAAAAAAAAAAAAAACCACAATAAAAAAATAAATAAAATAAAACAAACCAGGGGGATCACCATGAGTTGGAGGTCAGCCTGGGCTACACAGTGAGTTCAAAGCCAGCCTGAACTACACAGTGAGACCCTGTCTCAAAAAGACAAAAAGCAAAGAAAAGAAAAAAACCAAAAGATACCAGGTTGCTTTTTGCTGCATGAACTGAGAAAACTAGTCTACCAATGTGTATTTATGCCTAATTCCAATAACTGTCTAATGTGATCAAAGCTACTATTAAGCCAGGTGTAGTGATGTGCACCTTTAATCCCAGCACTCTGGAGGCTGATGCAGGAGGGTTGCAAGTTTGAACCTAGGCTAGACAATTCAGCAACTTTAGTGAGACCCTGTCTCAAAATAAAAAATGAAAAGGGATGGGGATATAGGCTCAGTGTGAAGGCCTTAATTCAATCTCCAGTACTAGGGGGAAAAATGTCTGGGTGTGGTGGCACATGGATGGAGTTGTAACAATGTAGGAGGCTGAGGCAGGAGGTTGCCAGCCTGGGCAACCTAGTGACTTAGTGAGACCCTGTCTAAAAACAAAACAAATTTCAAAAGAACTGAGGATGTAGTTCACTCCCTGAAATCAATCTCTAGTATGGGAACAAGGTTGGGAGGTGCTGCTATTGGCTCAGGACATGAAGATGAGCTACAAAGACACCAAGGCTTGGTTCTGTCAACAAAAGCTCCACTTTTCCTTTCTTTTTTTTTTGGTACCAGGGATCAAACTCGGGACCTTGCACTTGCGAGGCAGGCAGCACTGAGCTAAATCCCTGGTCCTCTACATTTTTTTGACAAAAGCTTTTATTAAGTAGAACTATTCATTACCTAGCTTCAGGAATAATCAAATAGTCATTTCATTTTATCTATACTGATAACCATTCCCCGACTTTTCCCTACTGATCTTAGAAATCATGGATTCACCTGTATTTTTAAAATTATTAAATAAAGCTCTAATGATTACTTCTTTTGAGAAGCCTTCTCTAAACACACAGATGGAACTAAATTTCTTCTCATTTCCCAAGTGCCTGTATCTGCAAAAAAACTTATACACATGTTTCTACATGTCTGTATTTCAGCACTGGTATAAATCAGAAACACGAAAGAAGTGATTTCCTAATAAATCTCTGCACCTTTCTCACCGCCTACCCAGCTGTCTTGCAGAAGGCATATATATATACACATACGTATGATTGGCTGATTTAATGAAAGGACTATATTACATGAAAAAAAGACTGGGCAAACTTTTTGGGTTGAATTTGATATCTGCATCCTAAAGAAATGCCAAGTATAAATAACTTAAAATTAGACACTTACGACAGTCCTGAATTCAAGAGCATATTAACAAAGATAATGTTAGGCTCAATAATTATCTCAACTCCTTGCCCTTCTTCCCTTCTCTCCCTCCTTACCTTGCATCTGAGATCTAAAATAGAAATGATTCTAAGGAGAAAAGAACAAAGAACTGCAAACTCTTTGAACCAAGAATCTTGTTCATCCTTTACCCTAAGTACCTGACTTGTCGTAACTGCTTAAGAAATATTTGCTTAATGAATATATGTTTCTGGTGTTTTTAACTACTACCTTCCACAATTTCTTCAGAGTCATCCACAAAAAATTCCTTTAATGGAGGCCTTTTGGGTCGTTTCAGAGTATTGAGAAGCTGCTGGATTTTTGTGGATACTCTGCTATTGACAGGAACACCTATAAGGGAAAACAATGGTAACAAATTAAAATTCATGACTTAAAGGTATTTTAGGGTCTGTACTTCCTCATGAGCTTTTATTTCTGATGCCCTTTGGTCTCTGACTATAGCCTCACTCTTATTTCAATTGGGCCACATGGGTATAAATATGTAAATGGCAAGTTTACAGGGTTGTTATTATTAATATGTTGCTTCAAGGTTTCATTTAAGATCCCTCTTCTTCTATAGCATTCTTTTCTTTTTCCACACTTGGTTTTCAGTTCAAAGTATCTCTTGGAAACCCTGACTAAGTGTGACAAGTGTGGAGAGGGGCACTCTGGACGACCTGCCACAGGCTAGCCAAGGCAGCGTGATTCTGCAGTGGCTGAGCCAGTCGGCCAGGAGATTCTGTTTTCAATTTGAATTTTTCAGTTTAATTTATACTCCTTATTTAGCTACTAAAAAAAAAAAAAAAAAAAAATTCCCTACCGTCCGCTGTATCCATAAGGCTGGACCTGTTGGATCCTTTGTGCATGCCTTTAACTATTCCAGAGGGGGGCAGGTCAATATTTGCTGGGCGTACGGAGGATGATGAGGAAGAGGTAGTTGTAGTGACATCAGGGGGAGCAGAGAAATTCTCTAAGAGGGGAGAAAACAAAACTGAGAATTATATGACATTAACAGCAAAAATAAGAAGTTTTTCTTTTTATTTCTTTAAAAACTACTTAACTAGGTCATTAGCTGTTGTTGAATGAGCTTTTAAATAAAATTCTACCAGCAATTTGTAATGAGAAAACAAGAAATTAAGCTAGGATATATGAAGTTTCTAAAATTATTATTTTCAAGATTTGAGCAGCTTTAGATCAAATCACACAGTCAATGTTTCTGAAAAACATTATTTTCTATTGAGGAAATCAAGTAGAAATCAATGTTATAAAGATAATCCAAATAAAAAAGTGGCATCTGAAGTCAATAAAAGTTGACTGCAAAATGAAACTAAACTAGGATCTTAATTGGCTACTAATATCCTAGTCTCTTGAACATTTTTTTATGATTACCGTTTATTATTTCAATGTTTCTCTTCCCGTTGAAGACCAAAAGTGTCTTGGGGGGTGAGTCAGATCATTCAAGTTTCCAGGCAAAGTATAACCAGGTAAAGGCCCCTCTAATTTTTATAAAACCCTAGGTAACTTGAATCTTAATAGACAATTCCTTTTCTGGCTTTAAATAAAAAAGACTCTTAATACAGAGAAAGTGAATGCTGTAAGTTAGAAGAGATAAATTCAACAGAAATGTGCTACTAAAAACTCAAATGAAGAGGCAGAAGGACTGTGAATTTGAGGCCAGCCTGAGCTATATAAGAGTCTCTGTCTCAAAAAACATGGGCTGGGGATTTAGCTCAGTGGTTCCACCGCCTGCCTCGCAAGTCCAAGGTCCCGAGTTTGATCCTTGGTATCAAAAAAACCCAAACAAAACACAAAAACAAAACATATGGAGAAATAAGAAAAGGACAATTAGAGGAAATAAATATATGCCATAAAAATAATGAAAAGTCATTAAAAAACATCAAAAAGGAAAAAAGCATAATATAAATCAATTTGGGGACTGGAAGGGGTGACACACACCTGCAATCCCAGCATTCAGGAGGCTGAGGCAGGAGGATCGCTGAAGGTTTGAAGCCAGCCTAGGCTCAAAGCTATCATGAGTTCAAGGCCAGCCTGAAGTACATAGCGAGACACTATCTCAAAAAATTTTTTTAAAAGTTTAATTTTAATTAAAAATATCAATTTGGGGTAGGATTTTCTATGCCTACAAGGTCTGTAATTACTGGTTTAATATTTTTTAAAGTGTGAAATATACTACCACAGGTACATAGGTTGATTGACGTTTTTTAACTTGGTTTTTTAGACAGGGCCTCACTATGTAATTCAGGCTGGCCTCAAACTCACAGGCGATCCTCCTGCCTTGGCCTCCCAAGTGCTGGGATTACAGGGGTGTGCCACCATGCTTGTGAGCATAAGTATATTGCAGTATAACTTTCTGTAGGATAATATGATAACAAAAGCATTAAGAGTGCACATTTTTGACCAGGTGTAGTGGCGTCTCCCTGCAATCCCAGCTACTTGGGAGACTGAGGCAAAAGGATCACAAGTTCAAGGCCAGTCTAGGCAACAATAAAAAAACCCCACAAAAATAACAAACAAAACAGAAAAACAAACAAAACAAAACAGGCAGGGAATGTAGCTTAGCACTTCCTCAGTTCAATTCTCTGCGCGCGCGCGCACACACACACACACACACACACACAAAGACATTTTAAATCTACCAAGCCAACTCAGAGTTTACAGTGATATATCCCAACAAAATAAGCAGATAAATGCACAAAGCTATATATTCAAGCACGTTTATCCCAGCAGACTGCGTAATGGTAAAAAGCTGGATACTTCCTTTGTTGTTGTTTTTTTGAGACAAGGTCTCATTACATAGTTCAAACTGGCCTTGAACTCACTCTGTAGCCCAGGCTGGCCTCAAACTCATGGCAATCCTCCTGCCTCAGTCTCCCAAGTGCTGGGATTATAGGTGTGCACCACCACACCTGGCTTGGATACTCTTTAGATATCCAAAATAGGCAATGGCTAAATAAATCAGGGCACTGTCACACAATGGTATATGAAAAAAGGTAAATAGGCTGGAAATGTAGCTCAGTGGCACCGCACCTGCCTGGCAGGTGCAAGGTCCTGAGTTCAATCCCCGGTGCCAAAAAAAAAAAAAAGTATATAATAAAACCATAAAAATAATAGAATAATTATAACGATGAAAAAAGATATTTGTGATATAATGCTAAGAAAAGATGTTAATGAAATTATGTTCAAGACAATTTCATTTTTGTAAATTCAAAACCAAAGCCATACATATTCATACATAAATAAAATCTAGACTACACACTGAAGTCCTAACACTAAAGTGTTATTTATAGGAAATGAGATTGTAGATTATTTTTGTGTTTCTGAGTTTTCCTTATCAGAAAAATGAATTACTTCTCTAGAGCAAATATCCAAAAGGCATTAATATTGGATAAGATGGTTCATGTGAGCAATTTTTTTTTGTGGCTTTCGAGGCAGGCGGCAGAACTACTGAGCTAAATCCCCGGCCCCTCATGTGCATAATTTAAACCAGTAACTTTTCAAAGTCACAAAACCAAGAGAAAAATAAGAGGTCAGATGAAATCATCTTAACAAAAGTGCAAATAATATTAACTGTGTATTAAGATAACACTTTTTATAAGTGAAACTGCTCTCTTTTAAGACAGACATAGAAATGAAAGCTCACCAACCATGGTCCTGTTGCTTACCCTCCATGAAAGAAGAGGTGGTGAACATGTATATTTGTACATAGCTGCTCTAGCAGGCTCAATGAACTACAGGGCAGAGTCAAGAGCAAACGGCAAATCATCCAGAGCTGGAACACGACTTTTACTATGGGCAATCTTAGTAGCTATTATATTTAAAAACTATAAACCTGAATTGAAACATAGTTCTAACTTTTTATTTTTAGAAATCAGTTAATAAATAAAAAAGGTCACTGAGGAAAATTAAGAGCAAAATGTGACAAGAAAAAAGGAAAGATACCACAGATAATGTCAATGTATATTCTTAGTGCAGTTTTGTACTAACCAATTAAGCAAAAACAAAGATCTGTATCTTTTTATCTGCAGATGTCACAGCTCTTTAAAGAACAAATAAAAACATAAACCAGAGCCAAGCAAAAGCTACACTCCGTATAGTAGCATCAGCAGCAGGCAGCAGTTCACAGAGTACCAATATCCTCAGCCTGCACATTCCAGGTGTAGCGGTATCATAGCAGCAAGGATAATAAATCCAGTCTTTATGCTAAAGACAAAAGGGCTCACTGATATTGGTTGGTGTAGAATTTGTTTAGGTTCAATGTTTTCTGCTGGACAGACCATACATAATAATCCTGGGAAAATCTAAGATGTTACATATTTTAATACTTTTTTAATATAAGGAATATCCTTCAACTGGGATAAGCCCATGTTAAGACTGGTGTTATATCCTGCAGCTTGAGTATTGCTTATGGAAATAGATATGGCTTCAGGTGGGCAATACTAGGTACCAATAATGCAGATGATACCTATCATTTCTGCAACAAATGTATTGCTGGTGTTTCCTTCTTTGCTTCATTAACTGTCATGTTCTTTCTGATTATATTTTCTCAGGCCATACTAAAAAAACCTAACACAAATCATATACTGTTTCCTGGATACTGGATGCCAGATGGAACATAATTTGGACTTCTTGGGTAGGTCCACCTCCTACCTATTCGAGTATTGGCAAATACATCAGCTAGGGACCCACTGGTTCCTTTGACCTCTCCGTGGGACAGCGTAGAAGATGCAGAGGAAGAGGTGGACGATCCCTGAATTGAACGGTTGATCCAGGACTCAGCATTCTGTAAGCTCTGTTGCAAGGCAGCAGAGAGCGCAGCTTGGCGTCTCAGAGAGCCCTCATCCTCAGAGGCCGAAGACGTGTCTGTGTGGAATTAGAAAAAAAGAAGTTCTCGATCCTGCCTACAACAATGACTTTTCAGTTCTTGTTCACTGATCAGACATTTGATGTTGACACCAGCAAAACATTCACATTCTCAGGAATCTCAAGGAAAGATCTACTGTACTGGGTAAAGCTTGCAAAAATAAAACAGCCTAACTCTGGAGCTAATTTTAAGTTGCTTTTGTATTAAAAATAAAACCCTTTAAGAATCTTTTTAACATCACTATTTTTCTGTTCCGAACTTAATTAGCATCCAAATTCTGTTTTACCTACTTACGTTCAAGTAATAATAAAAGTGCTTGTGTATTTTTTTCTTTTTGGTACCGGGGATCAAACTCAGGACCTTGTGCTTGCAAGGCAGGTGGTGGAACCATTGAGCTAAATCCCTGGCCCATTTCCTTCATCTCTTAAGTAGAGCACCTCATGAGAGGTTGCCATAGTGACTTTTACAAGTACTTTTTAGGCTCTACTTAAAAGAAAATTATCTTGATCTTGTTAAAAACTTGTGTGCCAAGCAGTAAGCAAGGTGATGGGAACTGAAGTGAGGTGACCACCAGTCCTCAGCCGGGAGAGATCCGTGGCTTTAGTGAAAAAGCCAGATGGTCATGCAACATGGGTACATTTTTTGAACAGGGCAGGAGAGGGCACAGGATCTTTTCTTCATTCTCAGTCAGAGAAGAATTATGAAAAATTCACTGTGTATTTAGCCTGGCTCTGACTTCAGGAAAATAAGGCTTAATTAGAAAAGCACAGGGGGAGGGGGTTCCAGCCAAATATAGAGAAGCAAAAGTTGAGGGAAACAAAAGTCAAGAATTATTCTAGGCTCTAAGCTTGTAAGACATAAAAGTTAAAAAAAAAAAAAAAAAAGGTATTTGGTCTGAGGTAGGACAAACCCTTCTATATGATTTGTATGATTTGGGGAGCTTTGTTTTATGATCTGTGAATTGAACGAATTTACTCAAATTTTTAAAGTTAAAATTTTGTGGAGCTAGGTATATAGGCTCAGTGGTACGGTGCCTGCCTACCATATGTAAGGCCCTGTGGTCAACCTTCACTTCCCCAGCACTCAGACTGAGATAGAGGAGGGGAGGTGGACTGAGATTAATTAATCCTGCAGAACATTTTCCTTTAATTCAGGTAACAACATAAATCCACGACCTGCTTTGGTTCAAAGAATTAAAGAAATAACTAACTGGGCTGGAAAACTCCAAGTACCATGAAAAAATAACCTAGGCCAGAAGTCAAATTCTGCAGGCTCAAAGCAAGAAAGTTCAAATAATTACTTTATACCTGCATACTTGCTTCTTGCTCTGTATTACCATCAATTTATTATCTCATACTGAATGAGACCTGAGGCCCAAGTCTGATTGTTTTAGCCTTTTAAAATAATGTCCTACAGGGGCCGGGGATTTAGCTCAGTGGTTTCGCCGCCTGCTGTGGAAGAGCAAGGACTCGAGTTCGATCCCCGGTACCAAAAAAAAATAATAATAATGTCCTACATAACCACAATATTTGCTAGGAACTACATCAGGGCTCAGTGATTCTGATGTATGAGTGCATGCCTATGAGGCATTAAGTGTCCTAAAAAGGCTTACAGTCTAGTAGAGGAGAGAAGCCCACAGACTAGAATATGTAAAGAAATGCTCAGACATGGAATAAGCCAGGGTTTCACAGGAAGAAGACCAATCAGTCCAAAATTTTAAATATTTCTATGTAAATGAACAAAGATTTTGAGGAGATATAGGGCAAAAAATGATGCTAAAGAGATAAACAATGACCAGGTCTCAAAGGGATGGAGTTCCTTGAAAGAGAAATAGGATGTGTAACTCCACTGGATTTGCCAGCTGCCATTTTCTACAGCACCATTTATTTTAATTTGTGAGTCTAAAATCAAAAACACTCCCCCCCCAGTTTTTTTGAGACAAGGTCTTGCTATACAGTTCAGGCTGACCTTGAATTTACTATGTAGTCCAGGCTGGCCTCAAACTCACGGTGATCCTCCTGCCACAGCCTCCCAAGTGCTGGGATTACAGGCACGTGACACTATGCCCAGATCAATTTTCAAAGTTAGTAAAAACAGTATTTTTATAACTAGATTTATGGAAAATTGGTTTTATTACATTCTACTGAATCAATTAACTGCGTGCGTTATTCCACTTCAATTACCTAATCTGCCTGCCAACCCTCCTCAGAGTGTTTAATGACTACAGCCACAGAGTAGGATGTGGCCTGCATGTTAGTCTTTCATCTGCACTGTGGAGTCCACTGCTCGACTAGCTGTGCAGTGTGGGGGTAAATTACCCATCTGCAAAGGCCGTATGCTTGTTCCTCCATTCGGCAAGTATGACTAAGCTCTATTTAGTTGGTAGGCATAAAACACACAGCAGGAAGACACAGTCCCGATTCTCATGGATGGGAGTCTTACAAGAGTTCGGGGCAGATGCCCAAGAAACTGAGACCTAAACCAAGGCCTGCAGGGTAAGGAAGATTTTGTTATGAGGGACAAAGGGACGAGGAGAAAGCAGTGCCAGTAGAGGGGAACAGTAGGTGAGGAAGCTAGGTATATTTGGACATCTTAAAGAAGCTGAGGCAAGTCAAAACACATGATGCAAAACTGACAGCAATGAAAGATACGGCCAGACAAGCAGGCCATCTGGATCGCTAAGGGCCTCGTAAGACATGCTAAGGAAATCTGTTTTGTAATAACTAGAGTGGGAGACCATGAAAAAAGGCAACATTCGGAAAGCACTGCAGCAGTACCAGCACAGAGCAGCAGCTGGTCCATGTATATTAGTTCCCCTTCTCATCCTAGCAAGGATAATTGGGGGGGGGGGTGTTCCTATTTAATTTGCAACAACATCTGAAATTTTCCCTAAGAATAATTTAAATACAGTAGCTAGTTCCTTCCTATAAACATGAAGGTAAAGAGGATAGAAAATGAAGGCTGACAGAAGATAAACATACCATGCTAATAATGCAAACTAAGAAATGGAGATGGGTATAAGAATAACTCCCTTTGCATGAACTCACAAACACAAAATTGGCTGGGCAAGGCTGAAAGCTGATACACAAAATGTAAATAAGAATTGCATCTTTTTAAAAATCAAAATGAGCTCCCCTAAAAATATTATTATTTTGGGCCAGGGATTTGGCTCAGTGGTGTCACCGCTTCCCTTGCAAGTGCAAGGTCCCGAGTTCAATGCCCAGTACCAAAAAAAAAAAAAAGTTATTATTTGGTTGCTTTTCGTTTTTATAAAGTAATCACCTAGGAAACTGCTATGAATTGGTAGAAATTTAGGCAAGGGTAAATTAATACTAATAGAAATAAAGTTATCAATTTTCTACTGAATCTGCTCTGGTTGTCTGTTACCTACTGTTAACTAAAGTCTTTGCCTAAGCTCCTTTAAACATTTTTTTAAAATTATTTCATTTTACAGACTGAACCCAGGGCCTCACACACATTACACAAGCACTCTACTACTAAGCTGTCACCAACCCTGGTTTCTATTTTGGGGCTGAGTCCTGCTAAGTTGCCTGAGCCAGCCCCCAACTTGCAATCCTACCTCAGCCTTTGAAGCAGCTTGGATTACAGGTATGGGCCACTGAGAGCCTGGTTCTTAAATATGATGAATATGTCTTCACAATAGAAAACAATTTTGAAAATACAATTTGCCCTTTGTTGTATAAATCTGATGTCACTTTATATAATACTGGTCACCAGGAGCCTATGATCTATGACCAATTAGGAAACATAAACAACAAACTTATTAAACCATCTCACCCCAGAAAGAATGGCCATCATCATAAAATCTAATAATAAACAAATGTTGGCTAGGCTATAAGGAAAAAGGAACCCTTCTACACTGTTGTTGGTGGGGATGTAAACTAGTACAATTACTATGGAAATCAGTGTGGAGATTCAAGAAAACTAAAAGTTTTAAAAAAAAAAAAGGTAGAAATTCCATTTGACCAGGCTATCCCCCTCCTAGGTATTTCCCCAAAAAGGTTTAAATCATTACATTACAGGGACACATGCATACCTATGTTTCTAGCAGGACAATTTATAACTAGATCTTGGAAACAGCATATATGTCCATCAATAGATGAAAAGATAAGGAAAATGTGGTATTTGAACACAATAGAGTAAGTACTATGCTGTCACAAAAAAGATTAACTTGAAGCATTTGTAGGTAAATAGATGCAACTCGAGAACATAATGTTAAGTGAAATAAGGTCCAACACACGAGCTCAAATATCACATGATTTCTCTGATAACTGGGTTCACGAACTTAATTTGTTCCACTATTTTGGAAAAGATGGCATATTTGTGTTTCTGCAGGAAAGATGACCATGGTGTGTTTGTCATCTGATGCAGAGTTTGCAAATAAAAACAAAATTTTGCCAAATACTTTTGTTTGCAAACCAAATTGTTGCAAACAAAAGCATTCTGAAACAAGGTACCACTCTACACACACACACACACACACACACACACACACACACACATCAAAACAGAATAAATAGGGAGTTTACTTCCTAAAATTTTATATTCTTTTGTTTTAAAAATAGTATTTCAATATATATGCTAATTTGTTTCATTTTTACTAATAAAGCAGTTTACCTTAGCTAGTTGAAAAGAAAGTTTGTGTTACTGTTTGTTTTTTGTAAGAATCTTTTTTGGTTTTTGTTGTACTGAGTGCTTGGAAGACAACTGCATACAATGTAATAACTACTGCTACTGTCTTATTATTTGGTTATGAAAATTAATTTTTTTTCATAAAAAAGAAAAAAAAAGCTTGTTCATTTTAAGGGAAAAAGGTCCTGAATTTACTAACTGTTCTTAACTATGTAACATTCTGTCTTTAGCCATGTTTGAAAAACATTTTCTCCTTAGTGGAAAATACGTGTATCATATCTAAAAACGTTTATTTGTTTGCTTCTTTGTTTGCTTGCTTGCACAACTGGGAATTGAACCCAGGGCC